AATTTATTACAAAACATTATTGGGCCTCTTTCATTTGAGACGAAGAAAATATTTTTTTATTCGTGCAAATAATTTTTTTTTTTTCATATAAAGATAATAATTATATAATATATTGAAATAATATTATGAATTATAATTTTATCATACAAAATCGATCTAAAAGTATACATTTATTTATTATGATTATGGGGAATATATTATGAATTATTATATTTAAGCATTTTAAGATATAATGTAAAATTAGGAATTAATCACTTTAATAAGTTGTAAAATTGTGAATTTTAATATTTAAAATAATTATGATGACTATTCCAATCTGATTAAATTAAATGTGTATGTCAGTATGTTGTGATCTGAGATCCCAAGAAACACACCAATTAGTTTTATCGTCCAATTTTTATATTTTTTTAAATTGTAGATTATATTTATGTTAATTAGTCGTATTCACACTGTTAAAATTATTATTATTAAAAATACTTAATTTGTTTTGTGTGTATGTGATTGGTAATTTTTTTTATTCTAATTTTAGTTTTTGATATCAACAATAGTCTGAATAATGTTTTGTGAATTTTTTATAAAAAAATAGTACTCCCTCCGTCTCATATACCGTGTTTGCTACACCGTAGATACGATATTTTAGGAGGAGTGTAATTAGTAGATAATTAAGAATATATTAGTGAAAATAATTATCTTATAATATAAATAATTATAAATTAAGATTAAGATAACTAATTAGTTTAATTAAAATTTAAAAAAAATAAATTAAAATGAGATTAAAGTGTGTAATCATTTTCCAAAAAAGGAAAGTGACATGGAATGTGGGACGGACAAAAACGACAACGGAATGTGGTTTGTGGGACAGAGGGAGTACAAAATTTTAAAATAATTATTAAAAAAAATAACACACTCATAACATTAAATGATTTATTTTCACCTTTTCTATTAAGTAATTTTCTTTTAAATAATCACATTTAATGTTTATTATATATATATATATATATATATAACATCTATATATTTTCTTAAAAATATATTTAATACATAGATTTTATATAACATTACATGAGATAACACACATCCATTTCTTTAATTTTGAAATGATTATATATATATATATATATATATTATGTCTTTTATAAAAATAAATAAAAATTATTATACAATTATTACAATGTCATATAAGATTTTGTTATATTTGTTTACATAAAAGATACACATTTTATCATTTTTTAATATTCATTCATGTCCGGATTCGTTCACTGAGATAAATTGATTTCTTATATGTAAGTATGAAAATATAAAACAAATTATTTAAATTGAATATTTGGTTTTGATTTTTTTTAATGAGTATTTAAATTTTTTATTTTTTTTCACTTTTTGAAGTTTTTATATAAAGTATCTTATATTATTTATTATTATTTTTAAAAAATCGCAATTGAAAAATAATATTGAAAAAAATATATATACATTTTATTTGAATATATATAAATTCACTATATATTACAATTATATTTAATTTTTTTTTATTATATACATCAATATCATTATATTAGCACAAAAATCTTTCCACAATATATTAACGGACTACTATTTAATATATAATACTATTTATGTCCGACTCTAAGTATTATAGTTATTTTTTGCATGTTGATATTTGAATATTAATTATTATATCAAAACGTAGTAAATATTAAGAAAAAAATGAAAAAATACGTCTATTAGTATCTTATAATACTAATATAATTATATTTATACAAAAATTATACAAATATAATGATATTTTTAATGTTAAGTATAATAACGCAAAATATAAATGTAATCCTTAGATGTTGACGGATGTAGTATTTCTTATGGGTGGACATAATTAATATTATCTCGGTCACAATTCAAAATATTTTTTTATCATTTTTGTATGTCTCAATTAAAAGTATTTATTTTTTATTTTAAAAAAAAGTAATCATATATTAATATCAAAATACTCATAACTTTTACTTAAATTATAAATATATCATTATCATATAATTACTTTATACATAAAGCTAATGACAAAAATATTAAAAATTCTTAAATACTTTTACTAATTAATAAAATATTATTATTTTTTAATCTACTATATAACAAAAAATACCCCATAATTGAAACGGAGGGATTATTATTTTATTTTATACTTCCCCAAGTTAAAAATAAAATATATACGTACAATAATTTTCATTTCTTTTGGAAAATACAAAAAAAAAAAAAAAAACTTTTAGTGAATCCAAAAAACAAAATATTATATTCAAAAAATTTTAATGAAATTATTAGGAAAAAATCTGGGTACCTAAAATTAATTGGTGATAGGTGGAGTGGTCATTCACCCTTATATATTAAGGGAGTTCCCATATCCAAATCCAATACAGACACCGTAGCTTTGATACCATGTTAAGAAGGGATCCGGACATCTAACTTAAAACCAATTTGTATATTGAGGAAGTTCCCATGTATTTTGCAATGTGAAATAATATTCAACCGAAACAAAAGTTTAATTTAAAAAAAAAAAAAAAAAAAAGAAGCAAACCCAAATGTTGATATGACGTTATATTAATTATGTGTTTAAGATATTTTTATCAAATACTTAGTTCATAATGTAATTAATAATTTGAATAAATTTTATTTTTCATTTGCCGTTAATGTCATTATCATCGTATTAATTTTAATTAATTAATTATGAGTGTCCACTTGCATGCTATTTTGTCCTTTTCTTCGTTACTTCTTATTTATCGTTTTACTTTAATTTTTATAAATGAAATTATTATGCCACTAATTGATCATGAGTGAGAAAGCATTATAGTGCTATTTTTATTTTTTTAAGAGTTAAATTTTAATTTATTTACTATGTAATTTTATTATCCATTATAAAAAATAATAAAATTTATTATTATAAAATATTATATTTATCTGTTATTTGAAAAATCAAATTAAAAAAAAAATCATTACGAAATTATACAATAAGCGTGTTTGTTTAATATTTTTTATAAGTTAAATTGGTTGTAATTTCAAGTTGAAATTAAATATTATTTATCTTGTAAGATTTTTTTATAAAAATATTATATTAGAATATTAATTAAATAAAATGAATATGTGTGTAGTATTTACTATTTGTTGTAGATTTTATGTCAGTTATTAATATTTTTAATTTTATTTAGGTAAATTAATTATTATTATTTTTAAAATTATAAAAACAATACTATTTTCTTTAAATAATGTAAGATAAAAAGAATAAAATGAATATTTTAGTGATATAATATTGGATATTATATTAAAAAAATAAATTAAATAAAAGAAAAGAATTAAAATTGATGCTTATTTATTTATTTATTAATGTGGGAACTTTGTTTAATGTTGTTTGTTCTGCTATTTTAATTTGTTTATATATATATATATATTTTATCAACAATCTATTTAATTTAAAAATTTATATTATTAATCATATACTACTTTTTTAAATAAATATAAAAATTTAAAGTATTTTTTATATTAAGTATGCGAAATGATAATATAACAAAAATATTATTTTTTTTAAAAAAAAATTGATTTATGTGTATATAATATATATATATTATATTGTAGCATGCACAATTTTTTTTGTTGTATAAAAAATACTTTTACTTTTATTAAAAAACTGTTATAAATTTATTCATTCAACCAAATTATTTTCTTCACACAATTTTTAATATATATAATATATATTACTTTATATATATATATATATATATATTTTATGCATCACATAAAAACATTTGAAACTAAAATTTATTAATGGATTGAGATTGAAATTTGATTTTTATTTTTTCTTTTTGGAATTTGGAGTATTGATTTTTTTTTTATCTTTAATTTTTTCATAAATTTAAAATTACTGTTAATAAAATATTATTCTCTCTTTTACGCTTTAAGTATTATATTTACTTTTTGTAAGTATTAGATTTAATATTAAATATATTTTTATATTTGTGTAATTTTTTATACAAATATTATTATATTAGTATAATAACACACTAATATAAATAATTTTTGTTTTTTTTTTAATTTGTATTACACTTTGATATAATAATTAATATTTATAGATCATATCCAAATGTAAAAAATAAATATGACAAGGACGGAAGGAGGAAGTAAAGAAAAAAATAATTTTTGGTCCCAATATAACAAAAATTCATCAATTTTGGTCATAATATAAACATCTTATCAATTTTGGTCCAAATATAACCAAAACTCATCATTTTTTGTCTCAATATAAATTTTTTATTAATTTTAGTCCCAATATAACCAAAACTCATCATTTTTAGTCAAATATAATTAAATCTTATTTTTTTTGTTCCACCGTTAACAAACCTACGAAAAAATGCTGACGTGGACTTGCAAGATTGTGCAATTTCTTCAAATATAAATATAAGATTTGGTTTCTTTTCACGTTAATATTTTCCGTCGGTTTGTTGATTGTGGGAAAAAAAAAAAAAAAAGGTTTGATTATATTGGGACAAAAAATGACGAGGTTTGGTTATATTGAGACTAAAATTGATAAAAATTTTATATTTGGACAAAAAATGATGAGCTTTGGTTATATTGGGACAAAAATGATGAGTTTTGGTTATATTGAGACCAAAATTGATAAGATTTTTATATTGAGATCAAAATTGATATATTTTGGTTATATTGAGACCAAAAATAATTTTTTTCCTTTTTTAAAATTTATTAAAAAAAAGTTAAATTAAAAAAAAATTCAAATGAATATTTTCGTCACGACTAAAGGGGGAGTACAATAGGTGATGATAATAGAAAAAATTATCTTTTAAAAATTTGTTCAAGCAAAAAATACCATATATTTTACTATCGAATGTTCAAAATCTTTTACCTAAATATTCCCTCGAATTTTTTTATTTTATTTTATTTTTTAAAAAAAGTAAGCCTGAAAATTTACAATAAGAAACAGTGGCGGTAACTGTTGTGAGGTTCCCGTCGTCTATACATAGCCATAGCCCTTTCTTAGTCGACTATCTCGATCTCTCTCCGCGGATGCTGCTCAAGTTCGAGTTCGATATTGTGCAGACAGTTTCGGTGGTTAGGACTACTGCTTTGCTCTGTCTCTCGATTCCAAATTGCTCATCACTACAGGTAATTTGCTGTTGCTCTGTAATTGGTTGATTTCGTTTTCATGTAATTCGCGTTGAAAGTGAGATGTTCGATTATGATTATGATTGTGATTTTGTTTAGTTAATTTTTTTCAGTTTTGGTATTTTTTGTGGCGTTGATCTGATAATCTGATATCCGCATAGCTTCGTGTTGATTTCTTCTGCTTTTGTGTGTGTGTGTGTGTGTGTTTGTGTCTTGTGGTTGGGGAGAAATTCCAGCTTTATTTTGCTGCAGATATGGAGGTTTGATCGAGCTTGCTTTTATGCGGATGTTAGTATGTCTTTTTTACCTTTCAATTTTTTGAATCACTGCGTAGAGTGCATCTCTTTGATCTGCTTTGCTTTGAAGAAATCCTTGTATAGCTGTAACTTCTATCGGACTTGAATCTGGAAATTTCAGTAGAGATATTCCTTCGATGCATAAGTTGCACCAAAAATATTGTACTAAATTCATGAACTGTGTACCTTGCAGGTTTGAATTAGAGGTAAAATGACGATGCACACTGTTTTCTTCAAAGAAAATCACGAATCGGTTGCTATGGCGGTTACTCATAATTCCTTGGAGCTTTCTGCTGGCGGTAGTCGATCGATTAATGTGGCTAAGGAATCTGAACATCAGCCTCGTCTGGAAAAGGAAAACAACACTCAATTCACTCTGTTCTCTGGTAATTAACACTTTCAGAAGCCCAAAATTTCTTTATATATATATATATACACACATATTTGTGACTTTGTGTGTATGTAATTAGGAATAATTTGGTATAATATATCAATTTGGTATGCATTTATCGTTACAGAGTTTGGCTCTGTACACATGATGATTTGAATTTCTTTCTTTATTCTGATCTTTGATTTGCAGACCTAAGAAATAATATTCTGCAAAACTTTTCAGTTTTTCACATCAGAAGGAAATCGATTAACTAAATCTAAGATACACAGTCAAGCCAGTCTTCTTCTTAGTTCTTATTCATTTGAGGTCGTTCATATATATGCACTTGTATGTTGTTTGAAGTTGGTTAGAAAGGGATTTTGGAAATTTGGAAGTTTGAAAATAAATAAAAAAGTTAATATTTGATTTGTTGATTTGTGATAGAAAAAATGTATTTGATGTGATATTTTTTTGAAAAATAAACAGTGTCAAATAAATTTAAGTGTGTTGTGTAAACACACCTTAATTTCTAGTTATCATTTATTCCATTATGAAGCTCCTTGAATTAACTTTGTCCTTTGCTGCATCTTGCCTCAAATAATCCCAAATAACTATTTAAGAAATGGAAATAAACATTTTGTTTTCTTGTTTGTTTAGGCTGAAATTTTCAAATTGTATTTATTTTTTCTCACAAATTCTATCCTCTATTGTCATTAGGTTAGAGAATTTTGCAAATTGATGGTAGAGTTTTACCCAAAGATTTATTTTTTTATTTTTTATTGATCATTGTAGTTTGTTTGGGTGTGATAAAATTGAATTTTTATTTAAATAATATTTTGATATAATATTTTATGAAAAAAAATGATACTTTATTTTTATATAAAAAAAAAATTACATGTTGAGTAATATTAATTTGTGTTTGAAATTAAAAACTAACATATCTAATCATTTTAAATTATTAATCTATATATATTTGTTTAAATAGTGAAAATGAATTTACTGTTATTTGAATTATCTATTCTACCAAATTTAAAAAAAAAAAAAAACTTCAAATATGGTAAACTGTTTTTTTAATCCCGTAACTGGACCCCTTTATCGTTTTAGTCCCGTAAGTGGAACATGTTGCAAACGAGTCCTATATATAAAATATTTTCGTTGTTTTAGTCCTCCGGCGCCGGAGACGCCCGCGTGGCTTGTTGGAGGCCACGTGTCCGCCAGGTTAGGACACATGGATTTTATTTTGTATTTTGTATTTTTTAATTTTTTAAATTTTTTTTAAATTTTATTTGCTTTTTTTTTTTAAAAATTTATTTGGCCCAATTAAAAAAAAATTTAAAAAATGAAAAAAAAAATTAATAAAATGTCTGCCAAGTGTCGCTGACTTGGCAGGACACCTGGTGGACACGTGACTTCCGGCGAGCCACGCGGGCGTCTTCGGCGTCGGAGGACTAAAACAACAAAAATTTTCTACTTATGGGACTAGTTTGCGACATACTCCACTTACGGAACTAAAATGATAAGAGGTCCAATTATGATACTAAAAAAAACATTTTACCCTATTTTTTTTATAGACTAATTCTTTTTGTCTGCATTACATTGCTGCTTATCATTTCTTTGCAATTTTATTTTCTTTATCATACACAGCCTTATTATAATATAGGATAGAAATCTGTATGGCTCCATAAATCGATGTATAAATATGAATAAGCTGAAGAAACTTGTCTCTACATACTCTATACTCAGTAACTATACCATATTAGTATTTTTAAGTTTTATAACTGATGACATAGTTTCAATTAACATAACATGTGCGGTCGACAATTTATATTTATAGGATATGTTATATGAACATATTTCATGTACTCAAATAAATGATAATATACATATTTTTTTATATTAACATAAATTATGTAATGTATGTCAATATTGTTTACTATCAGTGCGGTATTAAATTATAAAATTCAGTACAGTAACTGTCACTATAACAAACATGCTATGCACTTGGAAATGAGTTTATAGCAACGATAAAATGTTAACTTCATTATTAAACAGAATCTGATTTAGGTGATCTCAGGACCGCTGAGAACGGGGCAAAGACCAATCCAAAAAGGGTCTCCTTGGTAGTCCAAGCAGCTGCTACAATGGACTATCAAGGGCATTTCAGCCTTGGATTTGGCAAACCACCGGTAAAGTGAACGCGCAATTCTTTAATATGATCTTTTCATCCACGGATAACCCGTTTCCCGCGACAACGCAGATTCCTTATGCAGAGCAGTGTGGCGGAGGAGTTTACGCGAATTATGGATCTGAAATCTTGGTTAGTTCTTTTTGCATTAATCGATTGTTAGTAGATTAAAACATGACATTTATGTTACCCTCTGAAGCTAATGCTTGTCTCAGGGCCGCGTGGTGCTACCATCGAGCTTGGCTAGTGATGGAGGGCCAATATTCGTGAATGCCAAGCAATACAACGGGATAATGAGACGCAGAAAGTCGCGCGCCAAAGCTGAGATGAAGAATAAAATGGCCAAATCCCGCAAGGTAACTATATTCATTACTCGAATACATTATGTACTTGTATGTATAAGTATACATACAGTCATGAATGTGGGGAGCTCAACGGTATGCCAAGTTCAGCTACTCTACCTCAATGAATTGTGTCTCTCATGTACTGATCAATTACTTTCCGTCAAATGCATTCTTAAAACAAAAATTAATAAAATAAAATGTTTAAATACACATAGAGAAGTAATTGATCGGTACATGAAAAATACAATTCATCGGGGTTAGGTAACTAAACATATATACATTATGAATACAAGGTTCCACATTGTCCCAGTCCCACAACTCCAAATATATGTTTATGGCATGGAATCTTCAGCATCATGATGCTCGAGCCCCGTCACATATTGTGCGTATACATATATATACACACACACGTGTGTATGTACACACAATGTGTGATAGGATTGGAAACATCGGATGGATGCTAGAGATCTCATCCCGTATGCTTATACATACAAACATTATATGTATGGATATAAATACACTCATTATACACCACAATCGTGTTACATTTATAAACTTTGTTTTTCTTTACATGATCGTCAGCCGTATATGCACTTGTCCCGGCATCTCCATGCAATGCGGCGCCCAAGAGGCAGCGGTGGCCGCTTCCTCAACACAAAGGGCCCAAAATTTAACAACGAAAATTTTTCCACCTTAACAAAAACCGATGATGGAGGAAAACATCGTCCTCACCTCACAGAGTCACAGATATCTCAAGCACTACAATACAACATCAGCTCTGAGGTATCGAACTCAATATTCTCCGGTAACCACACTTTTCACCCAGTGAGTCGTCTCCACAGCTACGGCCCATTTCCCGATATGGGAAATACCGGGCTCGCCATTGCCATGGCCACTGGTGGCAATTACCTCAAAGTTTGAGGGCAATGGGCAACTCATTCTTGGCTAATCATCTCCGTCGTCTCGACTTGTCGACGACGACAGAGATGAAAACAATATATATATATATGCACACAGATATGTATGTGTATAGGTACACATGCTTTGTGTGTGAGTTTGTGTACCTTTTTTTACTTGCATGGTTTGTGTGTTTTAAAAATAAGACCAAAGTGGAGAATGTGTTTTTATTGCAATGTATCATATCCATCATTTGATCTCATCTGATGGTCTCATTTCCTCTATGGAGATATTGTTGTGTTTTTATCTGTTTTGGATGTAATAAATAATACTACTTGTCTTTGATATGTGATGACTTGTTTGTGTATTATTTAGTTAATTAAAGACTGGTTTCGCTGCTGATTGGAATAAATGAGATGTTGATTTGTCTCGATAAACATAAAAAGGAATAGCAAATATACATATTGAATATATTGTATTAATATAAATTTTGTGTGTTATATTTTTATTATATTAATTTAAAATTTACTTATTAATTTATGTTTAATATATTGTTAAATAATTCTATTCACCATATAAAGTACAAATAATTTCCATTGATTAATTATAGCTCTGTTTAAATTAAAAAGAAAAATCAATAGTAAAAATATAAATATCTAATTCGATATTTTGTAGAGAAAATAAATATTCAATATAATATTTTTTTTAAAGTGAAGCCCGTATCATTTGTTTGTTTGATTGTTTTGATTTAAAAGATTCATTATTTATTACTCCCTCCGTCTCTGTATTATGGGTTTATTACTGTATATACAAAAATTTAGGTAAAGTGTGATTAGTAAGTAACTAAGAAATGTATTAGTAAAAATAATTATCGTATAATAAAAATAATTGTGGATTAAGATTAAGATAAATAGTTTAATTAAGATTAAAAAAATTATAAAATTTAAAATTTAAAATGAGATTAAAGTGTATAATTATATTTCCAAAAAAGGAATGAAAAAATTATATGGGACGGACGAAAATAAAAAATATGGACAAATTATGTGGGACGGGGGAGTAATAATTTATTTAATTTTAGTTCAGCTGCATCATTACCGCGGGTTCTCTTTTGGCGGGAAACCCAACTGTCACAATGATGAGCACTGTAACTGCCTCTTTGCTTGGCGTTGTTACTAATCAAAATTTTAGGTACCAAAAGGTTAGATTCAAACTTGTGTTACAATTTACGCAATCCATAATCAAAATATATTGTAATTAATCAATTAATTAGATAAATATTTATTTTATCTAATACTCCATCTATTCCAAAATTATAGTTTTAATTGAGTTGGACACGGAATTGGTAGTTGGTAAAAAATATAGATAAAAGACTTTTTTACCCTTGTGAGTGTATTAGTGTAAAAAGTAGTGGCAATTGTGTAATAAAAATGAAAAAGTAAGATTAGTTTTATGGTGATATGATTATTTATGAAAATAAGACTAATGTTTTGTACGGACAAAAATAGTAAACAAGACTATTGTATTGGGACGGATGGAGTATATTACTTCTTTCGTTCCACTTAATTATCATAGATACACGAATTTATGATAAAATATAATTATTAATTAACTAAAAATATATTAGTGAAAATAATTATTCTATAATATAAATAATTATAAATTAAAATTAAAATAACTAATTAGTTTAGGGATAAACTGTTTTTTAGTCCCGTAACTGGACCTCTTATCATTTTAGTCATGTAAGTGGAGCCTGTCGCAAACTAGTCTCATAAGTGAAAAATTTTCGCTGTTTTAGTCCTCCGGCGCCGGAGACGCCCGCGTGGCTCGCCGGAGGTGATGTGTCCGCCAGGTCAGCGACACCTTGCCCTGACCTGGCGGACACGTGGATTTTTTTATTATTTTTTTATTTTTTAAATTTTTTTTAAAACTTATTTTTAATTAATTTTTAATTTTATTTATATATTTTAAATTTTTTAATTTGATTTAATTTAAAAAAATAAAAAAAAAATGAAAAAAAATAAATAAATCCACGTGTCCGCCAGGTGTCACGTCACCTCCGGCGAGCCATGCGCGTCTCCGGCGCCGGAGAACTAAAACAGCGAAAATTTTTCACTTATGAGACTAGTTTGCGGCAGGCTCCACTTACGGGACTAAAATGATAAGGGGTCCAATTACGGGTCTAAAAAATAGTTTGCCCTTAGTTTAATTAAAATTTAAAATAAAATTAAAATAGCGTAATCTTTTGAAAAATGACATGAAATGTATGACGGTCATAAAAAAATAATATGGATAGGTGAGACAAATTGAGTGATATTTTTGAAATTTTAATACCATTTTAAAAATAATATTATATCAACTACTAATTTTTTTTATACAATATTATTATTTTTATATATCAAATTTTCAAAAATTTATGGCTCTGTTTAATTGTGGGATTTTATATTGATTTTATCATTTCTATTTTATTTTATCTTCAAAAATATCAAATTAAACACTCATTTATTCATTTTATTAAATTAAAATTTAATTTTACATTCAAAATATAACATAAATACATATTATATCACTTCAAACAACTATTTCAATTCAAAATTTTATTATTCAAAATCAAATAATTTACTATTTAATTATATATATTTTTTCATTTGCATAATCATTTAATACAAAAATACAAAGTATTTTTACAAAAATAAAATAATAAAATTGTAAAAAAACTTACATGTAATTTCACGAAATTGCGTCAAACTCTTTTGTGATTTCATAAATTCTACGTTTAATCTCTCGACCATCTTTATTCAATGATATTAGACCTATACAATTGGATTTTAAAATTTCACGAATCCATCGTAATCACCAGACTCTCCATTCCTGGACATAGTACAATTTTTTCTTATACTAAATTTATTGCCGTCAAATAAGAGTAATAATTTTATAAAAGGTCCTGTAAAAAGAGTAATATTTGTTTTTTACACGTAAATTTTTTAATATTAATATTAATATTATATTGATTTAGAGTGAAAAAGACAAAAATATCCATATTACATTGTATGATATTACAAGAGTATTAATTATGTTAGGTAAAATAATAAAATTATTTTAAGAGAGTATTATTATTAAAATTTTAAAATTTCAAAAATCTTGCTCATCTTAACACTTTTTAAGCGATACGATTATCCGTAATTCTTACCAAAAATAAATAAATAATTTTGCAACGGGTCACGCACGCACGGAGCACGTGACAACACATCCCCAACGTTCCACAAAGAAGATCGATTACGATATACACGAAACACACACAACACCACACCAATCAAGATCGGAATTCCCATAGAGAGCTACAATCGCCATCGTTGCAGAAAAGCTCCTGCAGACAGAGGAAAACCCTAACGCAAATACGATGTGCGAAACGCTGTAGATTGGAAGACGAGCTAGAGAGGATCAGGAAATAGCAGCCAGTGGCGGCAAAAATGGGGGCGTACGCGGCGGGGGCAATCGAAATCCTGAACGACCGCGCGGCGTTGATGAGGGGTTCGCTGGCCAAAGCGCAGTCCATAACGGAAAATATGGTGGTGATTTTAGGTTCCTTCGACCACCGCCTCTCTGCCCTGGAGACCGCCATGCGCCCCACGCAGGCAATCCCCCATGCTCCTTCTCTCTTAACTTAATTAATTAATTAATTAATTTCTGTTTTTTTATTTTATTTTTTTCAATCGTGTTTTAAATTAGTTGGATTAATCGATGCGTGGAATTATGTAGGTCTGGTGAATTCGATTGATTTTGTGGTTTCAATTGTGTTTGATTTTTGGTGTTGGATTTTGGTTCAGCTGAAAACGCATTCGATAAGAAGGGCGCACGAGAACATCGACAAGACGCTCAAAAATGCCGAGTCGGTTCTTGCTCAATATGATCTCGCACGCCAGGTATCGTCTTCATTTTTTTTTAAATTGTTATGTTTTCTGTGTTTTTTAATGCTCTGTAGATTATTCAGTATTGATATTTGTGAATTCAGTTAGGAAAATTTGAATAGTGAATCTTTACGGTATGGTTAGCTAATAAAATAAGAACATTTGAACTATAGCAATTCCAACAAAGTAACTAACAAAAGAATTATATGTAGACATATATGAAGATGGGTGTAATCACAATACTGATTATCGATTAGCTTCATTTGAATAGAAGTTTTGGAAAATTTCAAAAATGGTAAAAAGTTTGATACTGGTATTTGATTTGATGTTTTGTAATTGGAAAAATGTATTTGGGTGTGGTTTTTTTTTTTTCCGAAAAAGTTATTGTTGATTAAAAGTTTTAAAAATGTATATAAACAATATCCGAGGAATACCAGAAACAATGAATGGAATACTCAACTTATTCATTAATCTCTGAAAAAATCATTTGAACAATCGACAGATGATTACAATTCCATCAAAGTAACTAACAAAAGAATTATAGATAGACATATATGAAGGCAGGTGTAATCACAATATCGATTATCGACCACACAAATATAATGATACGAGGAACACTAGAAATGGAAAATGGAATACTTATTCATTAATCTCCACCCAAAAAACGGTAGATCATATTCTAAGTATAATTCTAATTCTATTGCAAAAGGAATTGCAATAGTCGACAAATGATAGAAGTCGAAACAAACTCAATAGATTACCAATAAACTTTGGATTACAGCAAAAGAAAGTAAAACCAAGAAATCTCTGACTACAAAACATCGATCTTCAAGCATCACTGCATATGAGTTACGCCGAGTTTACTTCCTTTGTAATTGCAACCTAAACTTTCAGGCCGAGGCTAAAATACTGAGAGGTCCCCATGAGTTCTTGGAAAGTTACCTTGAAGCAGTGGATCAACTGAGGAGCATTGTCAAGTTTTTCACTGCTGGAGACAAAGGATTTATGAGTGGTATTTCGGTGGTCAACCAAGCAAATAACTTACTTGCAAAGGCTACTGGAAAACTTGAAGAAGAATTTCGACAGCTTCTCAGCTCGTACAGGTTTGCCTATCCAGAGCAAGACTTCGAATTTTCTTGAATTGATTCTGTTATATATTATGAAAATCTTCCATGTTTTTTTTCTAGCTTTTGAATGTGCTTATTTGTCTCCCATCTTTCGTTTATATAGCATGTTCAATGTCCGATTCTACATTAATTATAAGTTTAATTGGTTGAAGGCTGAAAGTTGCCTTTCGGGATATCATATCAAAACAGGTTGTGTTAGTGACTTTAGTGTTACAAATGGTGGTCAATAGCAATGTTTACATAGCTGTGGAATTAAAATTTGTTTAAGGTGTTTTTCTACTTATTTTCAGCAAGCCTGTCGAACCTGATCGTCTTTTTGACTGCCTGCCGAACTCTGTGAAGCCATCAGCTGGATCACCACGTGATGGAGAATCAGGTGGAAAGAAAATAGCTGAGCAGAAAAGTTCAGAAACTGCTGTATATAAACTTCCGACTTTACTCCCACCTAAAGTTATACCTTTGCTACGCGAGATAGCTGTACAAATGATTCATGGTGGTAATCAAAACCAGGTCTTTGTTATTTTCAGGTAATCGTAAAGAGCTTCATTTGATTTGTCGGTGTTATTACAGGATTATTTCATCACACCATGACTTTGATAGTAGATAAAATTTAAGAAATACGAATAGTGGCAATATGATGACTTTGCAAGTAGCCATACAATGAGGTGAATTTTATTTTATTTTTTTAAAAAGGTGTTATCACTTGTTTGAATTTGCCATATTTGCCAGTTTGTTGTTAATAATTAGGTACTTCACATGGCATATCGACAAATTTTATATTAGTAATTAGAACTATTTATACAAAGGAACAATTTTGAAGGATGTAATGATTTTTCTTATGTCTTTGGATTCTTGGATTTATCATGATGTTCTTGTTGTCTCTATGGTTACTTAGGGAAGCACGATCCGCAGCACTCGATCAAACTCTCAGAAAATTAGGTGTCGAAAAGCTTAGTAAAGAGGATGTACAAAAGATGCAGTGGGAAGTTCTAGAGGCAAAGATAGGAAGCTGGATACACCATATGCGAATTGCTGTAAGTAAGAATTTAAACAGCCTAAAACTTCGATTTTCACGGCCCTTTTCCGTTTCTTCTTTAATCAATGCCATGCTGTTTATTGAACAGATCAAACTTTTGTTTGCCAGTGAAAAGAAATTCTGCGATGAGGTTTTTGAGGGCAATGATAGTCTTAAGGAACAATGTTTTGCGGAAGTTACAGCCAACAGTGTAGCTGTGCTGCTTAGTTTCGGAGAAGCTATTGCGAGGAGCAAACGATCACCCGAAAAGCTTTTTGTCCTCCTCGACATGTATGAGATAATGCGGGAACTTCAGCCTGAGGTATTATGAAATTTGGCTGCTTACAAAAAGCATCTTTTGATTTTTTTGAACTTTTTATTTTTTAGTTTATGTATGTAGCTCTGGATTTTCTATAGCTTCATTCTGATTAATTTGCTTTGATGTTAACAAAAAAAGTTCGGTAGTTTATTCTTATCTTTAATCCGTAGAAAGATTATTCATTACACTTATGATTGATTTCACAGGTGGATACCATATTCGGAAATAAATTATGTACTGAAATGCGGGAAGCTTCTTCTTCACTCACAAAACGATTAGCGCAGACTGTTCAGGAAATCTTTGGAGACTTCGAAGAAGCAGTTGAAAAAGACGCCACAAAGACTGCTGTTCTTGATGGAACAGTCCATCCTTTAACCAGCTATGTGATCAACTACGTGAAGTTTCTGTTTGAGTAAGTTGGCGTTTATGAGATTCGATCTCTTACCTCCTTCTACACATTATTTCATCTTAGTTTGATCCTTAAAACACATATATATATATGTATGTATACTAACTGAATTGCTGAATTGGTCTTTACGAGCTTAAGTTGTTCATCATTGTTTTGGTGTCCGAACTTTCAGCTATCACGCAACACTTCTGCAGCTTTTCAAAGAATTCTCTACTGCCAATGGCGAGGAGCAACTAAAATCCATCACGACGAGGATAATGCAGGCTCTTCAGAGTAACCTTGATGCTAAATCGAAGCAGTATAAAGATCCTGCTTTAACGCAGCTATTTATGATGAACAATATGCACTACATTGTAAGATCTGTGCGCAGGTAGGCCGCGCTTATTACAGCTGGACATATGATCCGCCCCTACAGACACTTTGGATAACAATATGTTTCGAAATTTATTGCATAGGTCGGAGGCGAAGGATCTATTGGGGGACGACTGGGTCCAAATACATCGAAGAGTTGTCCAGCAGCACGCTAGTCAGTACAAGAGGGTTGCTTGGTCCAAGGTACTCTTGTTGATACGTTATTTATTTGCACCGTGTTGATTTTTCACGTCATGTTTTCTTCGGTTAATTGTGTTGAATTTATATATGAGATATGTTGTTTCTTTTTTAGATTTAAAAGGTCTTACAAGTTTCTATTGATGTTATTTGGTGATTGTAGCTATATATATATATATAGTAGCATATGAAATATACTGTGTCAATACATGGCTTGAATTAATACAGCATTATGTAGATTGTTACCTTGTGCGCTTTGTTTTATTTTATATGTGTATCGTATTAATATATCTTGTGTGTTGAGATCAATTGTAATATGTAATATATAGATTGTTGTTATCCGTGAATCTATATTTTGGACTTATATTATATTAATTACACTGTTACCATGTGTTGTTACTTGCTGATTTATTTTACATATATGGTGTGTGAAGATATCTTGTGTTGAGATCAACTGTAACATGTGTGAACTATTGTCATTTTTTGTCAGTTATGTATTTTATTTGTTATATACTCGTTCGGCTCTATTATGGAAATATATATTCAAATATTTGGACACGAATTTTGACAGAGTGAGTAATAATTGGTACTTCTTCCGTCTGCTAGATGAGGAAAAATTAGCATATATTTGAATGATAAAAAGAGTATTAACACATAATCATATATACGTGTTGTCGATTTATACTTTATGTACTGTCAGTTTATATTTTGTGTGTTGACTAATCATAATCATCATCGTAACTGTAACTGCCGTCATATATATATATACATACATATATTATTGATTGTGAGATTTTCACCATTGATAAGTTTGATCAACCAGAATTTATTTGCATGGTTATTTTGTTGCTGTGCAGATTTTGCAGACCCTTACAATTCAGGGCGTTGGAGATGCCACGAGCACCGCCGGGGTCTCCCGGACAACGGTGAAAGACCGGTTCAAAAACTTCAACCTGCTGTTCGAGGAGATCCATCAACGGCAGTCGCAGTGGACTGTCCCCGACACCGAACTGCGTGAGTCTCTCAGGCTGGCCGTCGCCGAGGTTCTACTCCCCGCCTACCGGTCTTTCATTCGACGCTTCGGGTAATGTTTACGCCATTGATCCCTTGCTTCTATGACACCTCTATGTTAACTTAATAGAAATATAAATATAAATATATGTTATAAGTTAAAAAAATATATATATTATTATATAATTCATGGAGGCTGATCCTTTACTAAGCATATATAATAAAGATATGCAGCATATATTATACTCTCTCCATCCACTAAATTTTTTATTTTTTAATTTTTTAAAATGTAGCTTTCAATTAAATATCAAAATACTTTTTTATATATATATATATATATATATACACAGGCCTATGATTGAGGGGGGGAAGAATCCACAGAAGTACATAAGGTATACGCCGGAAGATCTTGAAAGAATGCTGGCAGAATTTTTTGAAGGCAAGACTTGGAATGAACCAAGGAGGTAATTTTTTTATTTTTTATTTTTTAAATCTTTATTTGATTTTTAATTCAATCTTTGTAGTTTTTTTTAGCCACCCTCTTTTCATATATATATATATAAATATAATATTTGATTGTCTTGTTGTTTTCATATTATTTAATTTCTTGATTCCCATCTAATATTTTTGTATAAATTTTTGAGGGAGAAAAATTACAGAATGTTCTTTTAAGGCTTGGGTTTGAATTTTAAATTTGGTTTTTATTTACATAATAATTTAATGTGATATTTTGTAAATAAATGGTAGAAAATATGAAAAGGGACCTACCCATTAATGAAATAAGGAAAAACTACAAAAATATTTTTATTGGTGTTTTATAATACTAATGAAATAAAATTTGTACAAAAAATTATATAAATATAAGGATTTTTAATGTTTGAAAATAATGACGTCAAATGCAAATGGATAGATTGGTGGTACTTTTAGTGTACTTTTTTTACTATTTTTAATAAAAATAAAATAATTATTTTTTAAAAAAAGTATTAATCAAATTACTTCCTCCTTATTTTTAATAAAAATATAATAATTATTTTCCAAAAAAATATTAGTCAATTACTACCTTCTTTTTGGATATAATGTACCATACAAAAATTTATATTAGTATAATTAATTAGATTATAACGTAACTATTTATAAATTATAAGGGAAATAAAACTAGTCTAATTAAAATAAATAAAAATTATAAGATACTTATTTTTTCAAAAATAAAAAATAATATAAGATATGAAATCTGATGAAATTGTGACATAATATATGAGATAAAAGAAAGTAGTATTTAAATACAACACATAAATTTAATGACATTGGTAATTATGCATATGCATAGCAATTAGCAAAGCCACGTGCTATACTAATTAATTATTTAGTTAGGCCTTGTTTGGTTGCTCTCTCAAAAATTTTAACACTATTTAATCGAAAAACTCTTTTATCATTTCTAAATTATTATCATCAATATTATTTTATAAATTTGATTTTTATATATTTATTTGTGTAATATAGTTATATATATATACAAAATAAGTATATTTTATTAAGGTAAAATTGCTTATAATATATATATATATACAAAATAAGTATATTTTATTAAGGTAAAATTGCTTATAATTCCCCAGTGATTTCAAAATTCAGCGTAAAATCTCCATGTACTTTAAAAATTGCATGGTACCCCTTTATACTTTAAAAAACGTTGCATGAAACCCCATCACCATGAAACTTTCCTCGTGTGATAAGAAGATGATTTCCTATATATATGTTTTGCATGGCATTGGGGTTTTATGCAATATTTTTTAAAGTATAAGTGAGCGTCATGCAATTTTTTAAAGTAAAATGGGGATTTATGCTGAGTTTCGAAACCTTTCATGCAACACTTTTTAAAGTATAAGGGGACGTCACGCAATTTTTAAAGTAGAGAATTTACGCAGAGTTTCGAAACCACGAGAGAGTTATGGACAATTTTACCTTTTATTAATATATAATTCTTGAAAGCAATAAAATTCCACAAGAGTAGTAGTTAGCATGTAGGTAGAATCAACATCTCCAAATTAAAGGGTGTTTGGTTATAATTTCAAATTAAACTAACTATTGTCCATACTATAAGAATTGTAGGTGTGTTTATTTTTTGTTTTTTTACTATAAGATATGAAAATTTTGCTTCGGTAATATAAAAAAATATTTTATACTCTCTTCGTCCGCCTATAAGGTCACATTTACCTTTTACGTCATTGTACTTAATATTAAAAATATACTTATATTTGTATAATTTTTTGTACAAATATTCTTGTATTAGTATTACAAGACACTAACGAAAGTATTTTTGCGATTTTTTCTTAATTTGTACTATGTTTCGATATAATAATTTATATTCAAATATCAACACGCAAAAAGTAAATGAAAAACTCTTAGAGCCGGACGGAACGGAGGTACTATTATATTGATTTTTTTTGTAAACTAATATAATATATATATATATACTACCTCGTCTATAAGAAGGACACTATTTGTCTTTTACATTATTGTACTTAACGTTAAAAATGCTTATATTTGTATAATTTACTCCACAAATGATATTATATTTGTATTATAAGAAACTTTTTGTCATTTTTTTTTGTTCTATACATATTGATATTTGATATAATAGTTAATATTCAAATATCTACAAGAAAAAAATTCATGGTATACATAATACTCTTTTTATGAGACTGGGGTACTTATTATATTAGAGAACTGTGTCCATAAAAATATTAGTTGAACAAAAAAAATATTTTTTTTTTTATGATATTTTATATATATATTTTTTATAAAATATCATATTAAAAATATTATTAAACCAAAATTAAACACACCTTAAAAAGTTTAAGATTCAATATAATGTTAGATGGTTGAGTATATCTATTTGGCATTATAATTGTTGAAATTTTGCAAATATTGATACAATACACACTTTTTGGCTTTCTTGAACGTTGGATCATGAGTTAATGCCGAAGCCAAATCTCAGAAACTCCCAGGACCTAAATCCGAAACACATATCCTCACCTTCAATCTCACACTCCCGCTAAACCAACAGTCTCGATCAATTCAGGATCTCAACTCCCTGGACCATCCAATACAAACCCATTCCCCATGTCCAATGTCTATTATATCTCCAAAAAAATCCCAATCTTCCTTCAACCCTAATCCGCCATGCCGGAAAAGCTCTGCAACCACCACGAATCCTCCCGCCGGCGAACCCTCCGGTGGGCCGCCGCCGCCTCCGCCGCCGCCGTCTCCCTCCTCCTCCTCTCCGTCCTCCTAATTTGGGCCATTCTCCGCCCCAAAAAGCCCCAATTCACTCTCCACGACGCCACCGTATTCGTCCTCGCCGTCCCCGCCGGAAACCTCATCTCCGCCACCGTCCAGGTCACCGTCGGCTGCCGGAACCCTAATTCGAGGATCGGAATATACTACGACGGCCTCACCGCCTACGCCGCCTACCGCGACCAGCAGATCACCTATGCCGCCGCCATCCAGCCGGTCTACCAAAGCCGCAAGGACTTCACCGTCTGGTCGCCGTTCGTCTATGGCGACGACGTTCCGGTGGCGCCGTACACCGGCGGCGGCCTCGCGCGCGACCGGTCGGCCGGCGCGATTCCGTTGGTGGTCAAAATTAACGGCCACGTTAAGTGGAGAGTCGGCGCGTTCATCTCCGGACGGTACCACCTCCACGTCAGCTGTCCGGCGAATATTCCGGTGGATTATTCCGGCGGAATCGCCGCCGCCGGAGTTGCAGTTAAGTATCAGCTCTCGCAGAGATGTAGTGTTAGCGTCTAATGAGAAAATATATATATATACATAATTAAAAATAAATAAATTTATAATTAGTTACACGGATTTTTATTGAAAGAATTACATTACAGGAATTATGTATATTCTAATTTCATCTCGATAAATTTATATATTGTTTTGCTTTGTTGCCTTTGAAGGTTTATGTATATATAATAAATTTATAATTTTTATAAAAATATACTTAGTTTTTTATAAAACATTATCTATAAACTATTATTTAAATTAAAAAAAAAATTAAACGAACCAGAAATCAAACACACTCTTTCCATTTTATTTGTTTATACGAAAAAAAACCAAAAAATTATAACGCGGGAATCGACGCTCTTAGAATGCACATAAGATAAATTCTCCATTAAATTTAATAATATATAAATGGGTAAACTGTTTTGTTTAGTTCCGTAACTGGACCTTTATCATTTTAGTTCCGTAAGTGGAGCCTATAGCAAACTAGTCCCATAAGTGAAAAATTTTCGCTGTTTTAGTCCTCCGGGCGCCGGAGACGCCCGCGCGGCTCGCCGAAGATAACATGTCCGCCAGGTCAGCGACACCCGGCGGACGCTTGGATTTATTTTTTTTTCAATTTTTTTTAAATTAAATCAAATTAAAAATAAATTAAAAAAAAATTTAAAAAAAAATTAAAAAAATAAATAAATAAATAATCCACGTGTCTGTCGCTGACCTGGCGGATACGTCACCTCCGGCAAGCCATCCGGGCGTCTCGGGCGTCGGAGGACTAAAACAGCGAAAATTTTTCACTTATGGGACTAGTTTGCGATAGGCTCCACTTACGGGACTAAAATAATAAGGGGGTCCAGTTACAGGACTAAAAAAACAATTTACCTTATATAAATTAGATTCTAGGCAAATTATGTGACAAACAAGACCTGATTTAATATTAGACGAATCATATAATAAGCAAGACCCAATTTTTTACTTATAGTATAAAAAAATTGCGTCAAAGATATTGATTTTGGACGAACAAAGGTTTTTTTTTTTTTCAAATCACACTAGATGACTTATATGTGACATATTGAAAATTTGAACTCATGACTTTACAATTGCGAGTTCACTCTATACAACTAGGTCACTTATGCAGACATGTTTTATTTATTATTCCTTCTGTTTCAAACATCGTGCAACATATGAATTCGGCACGGAATTTAGGTGAATAGTATTAAATAGAATAATTTGAAATCTAGGTGATGTGATTGGAGAGAGAAAAATATATATATTATTATTTAAATGATGTGTTGTGATAAAGGAATTGTATATTTATATATATATATAATATAATTAATTATTTCTAAATTTGAAAATATTGTAGTGAATTTGGTACAAACAAAGATGCAACTTGTTTGTGAATGAGAGAGTATTTATTATTTAATGCTATATAATATTAATATTTTATGTATGATAATTGTAATTTTAATTGAAATATATGAAGGTACATTTATTAATTTGGGAAACAAATACATTAATTTTAGAGAGAGTGTATATCAATTTGCTTTTTATACAAAAATTTAATGTATATTAATATTATATTGATATGCAGTAAAAATAAAGTAAAAATGACTAAAATAACTGTGTGATATAAATATAATAACATTTGTGTAATATATTAAAAAATTGTAAGGATATTTGTAATTAGGTAGATAATACAGTTACTAAAAAACTAAAATAAATATTTTATTACGAAACAGACCAAATAAAATATATATATATATATTGATAATTTGTTAGGGGAAAGTATAAAATTTGATTTAATATTTTAATAAAATGTTGTAATGTTCCAACGTATAAAATTGACTAGTGGGTTTGGGTTAGAATAATTTGAGCCTGTTTGGGCCAGACCAATTTAGGCCCACTGATCATTTTGTAGTTAGAGAAATTTTGAACTACCTTTACAGGGAGTTTTGTGTAATTTTGATCATTATGTAATAATTTACAATTAATATTTGAACAAATACAAATTAAATATTTTTTAAAAAAATATTTTTATTCAATTATATATATATATATATATAAAACGATCGTGAACCCGTTTTCGTCGGGCGAAACCGCCAATTCCCAAAAAACAATAATAATTAAAAAATTAAAAATAAAACCCCAAATGGTGCATGCGTTTTCTTCCACCGCCCAAAAACTCGCCCCCAAACCTTTCAAATCCCTAACCGCTTTTCCCTCCTCAAACCGCCCATGGCGGCCTACCAATTCGCCGGAGACTTCGCCGCGCCGCCATCCAAGCACCGCAATAAAGGCGGGGACCGCCTCTGCTCCTGCGGAATATTCCGATGCTGCTTCGGTTGCTGCTGGAGAATCTTCCGGTGCGGCCTCGGCTGCCTGTGCAACCTCGTCTGCCAAATCATCTGCGCCGTCCTCGTCATCGCCGCCATCGCGATGCTCATCGTCTGGCTCCTTTTCCGGCCGAGCAATCTCGAATTCCGCGCCGGAGAAGCTTCTCTGACGGAGTTCAGCCTCGCCGGTAACACGGTGAGGTACAATTTGGCTCTCAATGTGTCGGCGAGGAATCCGAACTCTCGCCTCGAGATTATCTACGAGGATATCGAGGCGGTAGGGTATTACCACGGCCAGGAATTCGCCAGCGATAGATTGCCGGCGTTTTCGCAGGAGAAGGAGACCACGCGCACGATCACGGCGGAGTTTGAAGGACAGAAAGACGTGAGCCTCGGCGACGAAGCGCGTGCGAATTACGAGGAAGAGAAAAGTTCTGGCGAGTTCCCGATCGACGTCAAGGTTCAATTGAAGATCAAATTGAAGGTGTGGTTGTTGACGTCGCCGTTCTCGCTCAAGCCTTCCTTCGATTGCGACCTAAACGTTCCTCTGAATTCGAGCGGGAAATCGTACCAAGGTACGGATTGCACTTTCGATTGGCGCAATATTGATCTCCATTGATGAATTTCTTCGAATGGTTATTAGGATTGAAGTATATATATATCGATTGGGGCAAGTTTGTTTTTATATATATATATATTTCATATTATCATCAATTCTGATATGCGCCATAATTTCATGCTTCCATTGAATTTGTGATCTCAGAATTTCCTTGTGAATTGCTGTTGTTGTTTCTCGTTATCCTTTGCATTTTCTCAGCGTTCATCTCCATGCATTCTACCTTCCAATGTGATTGTTATGCTTGTGCTTTCTTTTTTTTTTTTTTTATTATTTAAAAAAGATATATATAATTTAAATATATTTTCAAATATTTGTTGGATAATGCAAATTTTTTAAAAAACAAAAATATTATTGAATATTATTTTTAATATAAATGTTTCATAAAACTAATGTATTTTTGTTTTATGTTTTGATTTGGAAAAATAAAAAATAAAAATGATAGTAAGGTATGAAGAAATACATTATAAAAAAAAACAATTGTATATGATATATTAATATTTTTAAAAAATTATACTGGCTATTCTTGTTTTTGTGTGTGTTAAAAAAAACACACAAGGCTTGTATGCATTTTACCTTCTCAAATCAAATCATTTGATATTTTAAAATTGTTTATTATTTAAGATAATATTGTTTAAATAAAAATTCAAATATATACAGAAGAACTTCTTTTCTTGTACTCCCTCTTATAGTCTTGGTTGTGTTGGTAAAAAGTACAAGTAAAAGACATTTTTGCCATTGCGAGTGTATTAAAGGTAGAACCAATTGTGTAATAACTAAAGGGTAAGGGTAGTTATATAGTGATACTTATTTTTTTGAATATTAATTACTCTCATGGTAGGCCGTTTTTTGTCCGTCCCACATCTTATATCACTTTTATTTTTTGATTAAACATTTGAATTTTATTTTAAATTTTTTAATTTAATTTTAAGTATTATATAAAATATAGTATTAGTGATAAGGAGTAGCTAAGTATATTATATGATCATATAAACATGATCCGTTAGGAATCTCTTAATGGTCAATTTATCATTTATTCCAACTTGTAAGATGCAACGTAATAGCTTGGCTCAGTTTAGATATAATATATATATATAATTTAAAAAGACTTGACCAAATACAATACAAACATAACAAATTTAAAATAAAATTAAAGTTATACCTTTAATAGATATACATGTAATTTTTTCTTATAAAAAAAATAAAATTGGCGCGAAATGGACTTACACTGAACTAGACCGGCGGTTTATTTCATCGTGAACCGGTGAAGCCGTGGGGGTGAAGTACAGAGGCGAACCGCAAGGCGTCGAAAACGGCGTCGTTTCATCTAAACTACGACCGTAATTTTCAGTCTCCGTCGCCGGCGCTAAGTCCTCCGACGGCGTGCAGTCTCCGTTCTCGTCTACAGGTTCTATCTTCTCCTCCACTTCAACTTCTCTATCGTTTTCTGTAACGGTGAAGAGAAATTTCGGAGCTCCAAATACTCCGTGGATCTTCAACAGGTCGACATCGGCGGCCTCGATGTCCGATCGCCGATCGGAATTCAGATCAACGCTAGAATTGGAGTTTCCGATGATAAAGGAGAAGAAATAGAGGAGCTCCTTCGAGTATGCTGCGGCGGATGAATTCGACTCCGATGAAGAATATTGAGAAACAGCATCTCCACCGCCGACGTCGCCGGCAGGATCAGTTCTCCGGCGGAATACACGGCGGCGCCACAATACATAAAAGAGCTGAACAACAAGTATAATTACCGAAATCACAGAAATGATTACCAGCGCAACCGCCAGCCTGCTTATTCCACCGCCACCGCCACCGCCGTCGCCGCCGGTCATCCTCGCCGTGTGTTTTACTACTGCAGACATGAAACTAAGATCACGACGGAGGTATGACTAAACCAATATTATATATATATATGTGTGTATTTTGATGCTGACGTGGATGGATGACGTGGTATATTGACGTGTACAGTTTTTTTAATTTGAGGTATGGGCCGTTAGTTTAATTTGGGATGAGACGAGGCCCATTCGGCCCAATAGTTACTGGGAGGTCCCGGGACCAGAAGACCGGGAAGGGAGTGGGACCCCTGGATGTTGTCCGGAAAGGGAAGAGGTTGGAAAACGTGAAATAAGTTACACTGACATAATAATGATTGCACTTTTTGCTTGATTTATGCTGTTTGACTGATTGACATTTATATCTACACATATTATTAATTTTATTAATTTAATATTATATTTTTAATTATTTATTAATTATACCATATCTAAAACTCGATTTTAAGTTAAACGAAAAAAAATAGGTAGGACTGAAAGAGTATAATATAAAAGTAATTATATTTGTATAATATATTGTAATTTAAAAGTTATTTATTATACTCTCTCGGTCCAAGCAATAAATATATATTTATATTTGGTGTGGAGTTTAAAAAATAATATTATTTTAATTATAATGGGTAGGTAAAAGTAATGTAATGACATTTTTGTTCTTACTTTTTTTATATAAAGTAATGATATTTGTGTAAAAAATGAGAGTATTTAATGAAATGGTTACTTTGTAATTGGACGTCCCAAAATAGAAATATGTATATTTTGTAGCTAGACTGAGGGAATAGTAAATATGTAATACAATTACTAAATTAAAATATGATAACTTTGTTTTAAGATGAACGGAAATTTAAAATGCTAATATTTTAATGGCTCGGGAAGAGTATAGATATTTTTTTAGTATCATATAATTTAGAAAGTTTTATTATTTTGATCCATTATAATTTTATACTCCCTCCGTCCCATGTAATATGAGTGTATAATTATAGACACGAGAATTTAGGTAAAGTATAATTAGTAAGTAATTAAGAAGTGTATTAGTAAAAATAATTATAAATTAATATTAAAATAAATAAATAATTTAATTAAAATTTAAAAAATTATAAAATTTAAAATGTGATTAAAATGCATAATTATATTTCCAAAAATAAAAAGGACAAGTTATATGGGACGGACGAAAATAAAAAATAGGGACAAATTATGTAGGACGGAGGGAGTAATAAAGTGACTAATTTATACTCTCTTCGGCCTTTGTCTATGTATCCGTTTATTTTTTACATGAAGTTTTATAAATATTAGTATTATATTAAAATGTAAGAGAAATAAAAGTATAAAAATTAAACTAACTTTATTAAGATTATATAATATAAAATTAATGATATTTGTGTAATTGTAAATTATAAGGGTGTGTTTATTGGGGGGATTGGATTTAATATACACTATTCATTCCATTTTTTTCCCCTAAAAACATCAAATCAAACACCTATTTTTTATTTTTTATATTATACTAAAAATCAATTTTACATTCAAAATTCAACTATTCAAATTCAAAATTTTTACTATTCAAATCCCAACTCAAAATTCATAACGCCAACAAACACACCCTTAAATTACATTCTCCTCGTCCAACAAATTTAGTCACATTTATCTATTTATTTATTTCGTAATTTACAAAAGTAGTGTAAGTTTGACAAAGAAACAAATATCATTCAACATTCTAATCATATCTTTAAATACTTTTAATATTTACATTAATTACAAATTTATTATCAACAAATAATTTATATGATTGTAAAAGATAAATTAGTACAAAATATCTTTACATATTTACACATGAATCTACAAATAATAAATATAAAGTAAATGTATACATTTAAAGCGCGGAATCAATAATATATTAAGGGTGTGTTTGTTTGAAGGATTTTGGTGGATTTTCACTATTAATCCAATTTTTCCCCCCAAAAACATCAAATCAAACACCTATTTTTTATTTTTTATATTATACTAAAAATCAATTTTACATTCAAAATATCACATCAAACCCTATTTATATCACATCATACAACTATTCAAATTCAAAATTTTTACTATTCAAATCCCAACTCAAAATCCAAACCTCCAAACAAACACACCCTAAGTGTGTGTTTATTTTGCATAATTAGAGTGAATAATATTCTTTTTGACAATTTAATTTGTTAATTATTTTTATTTTTATCTGTCTCATATAATTTGTTATTTTTTTTAGAAATATAATTATAGACTAATTATATTTTTAAATTTATAATTTATAACTTTTTAATTTCAATCAAACTATTTAGTCAATTTAATCTCAATATATAATTATTTTTATTAAATTATTATTATTTTATTAATATATTTCTTAATCACTTACTAATTACACAATATTTAAAACTTTATGCCTAAGCTAAATGAGTCAATTTAGCTGGAACGGACGTAATATTATTTTATTCAACCTAATTATATATTTATCATGCATTATTATAACCCGTGAATAAAGTTCTATAGTAGATGATATTAAATAACACTAAGGTATAATTATAAAAATGCTATTTTATGTATAGTTAATACCAACTTACTATTAATTTTATAATTTAATTAAGAGTATGTTAAAAAAAATCAATAATTTTATACAACAATTCATTATAGTAAATATTAAATTATTTTATCATATGATTATATAATTTATTAAAATAATACATGTGCTACGTTTGTTCCATAAGAAGGGTACCGTTTGTATTTTGCATTATTATGGTTACTATTAAAAATATCTTTATTTTGAATATTTTACTCTACCATTGTCATTTTATTTATATTATAAGAATTTAATATATACATATATATATATTTTAATATGTACTATGTTTTATTATAATAATTAATATTCAAATATAAACGTAAAAAAAAAAATCACAATACTCTCACAATACTCTTTTTATGGAATAATATTATAATTTCATCTTACAAAGTAAAACTTATTATATAAGTAAAAATAAAACAAAATACTCTCAATTTACACTATTATTAACATACATAATATCTATATACTATATATATCATTGAAATTTTTTATTAATAAATAAAAATAAAAAAAGTAGCACACTCTTTGTTTATTTTTAAAATATACAAATTTATTCGTATATTAAAATATAAAAATAATAATGTCATATCATAGTCGTGAAAATATTTTTTTTAAAGAAAAATATAAATTTAAATAACATGAAAAATATACCATATATATGAAATACAAAATAATTGGACCGAAGCCAAATTATAGTCCCTCCATCTCAGATATTTTGGACTTATTACTGTATATACGAAAAATTTAGATAAAGTATAATAAATATATAATTAAAAAATTTATTAATAAAAATAAATATATATTAAGATTAAAATAAATAAATAATTTAATTAAAATTTTAAAAATTATAAAATTTAAAATATAATTAAAGTATATTATTATATTTTTAAAAATAGAAAAATCTAAGTTATACGAAGGAACGAAAACAAATTATATGAAAGTGAGGAGTATAAAAAAAAATTAGTTGAAAAAACAAAGACTTTTATTCGATGTGAAATCAAAACAAAATACACTGAAAAAGAAATAAAAAATCAAAAAAACTTTGGGTCATAATTAGAGACATTAGTCCGTGTCTCTATCTGCTAGTTTGGAAAATAAATTTATTTAAATTTAATATTAAAATAATATTATCTCCGTTCCATATAATGTGTCATCAGTAGATAATTAAGAATATATTAGTGAAAATAATTATCATATAATATAAATAATTATAAATTAAAATTAAGATAACTATTTAGTTTAATTAAAATTAAAAAAATAAAATTTAAAAATTTAAAATGAAAAAAGTATGTAATTAATTTTTTAAAAAAGAAAATGACATGGCACGTGGGACGGATAGAGACGACAACGTGAACCTGGTATCTGGATGGAGGAAGTATATGATAGATGTATGTAAGAAAAAATATATATATTTTTTAAAAAACACAGATATAAAATAATAAAAATTTGATAATTTTGAAATAAAATACACATTCTAATTAATTATGAAATAAAAATAAAAAAAAAAAGGAGGAGAAAATAAGGATAGTGATGGGAGTGAGTTAAGACTAAATTAGGGCATGCGGCCAGGAGAATTAAAAGCCTCCTTTTCTCTCCTCCTATGGCTATGTCTATGCCTATGGCTATGGCGTCTGCACCTATCAATCCCTATATATACACATCTCTCTCTATCTATACCCTCTCTATTTATCTGTGTCTGTATGCATAGCAACCTCTGAACCACCACTGACGTGCTTCTCACTCATCATCATCTTTCAATTCCATGGTTGAGGAAGGATATTATTGATTATTCATAACGCAGCACATTCGCACACCGGCGGCGGAAGAGGAAGGAGAGGTAAAGAGATCGGCGGCTAATGGAGGAGGAAGGCAGGATTTCGAGGTTCAAAAGGATTTGCGTTTTCTGTGGTAGTAGTTCAGGGAAGAAGCCTAGCTATCAGGAGGCCGCGGTTGAACTCGGCAGAGAACTGGTAATCGATTTCTACGTTTTTATTTATTTATTTATTTATTTTTGTTTCCGTGTTCATCGTCATGCGGAGAGATGTGGTTTTTGAAGAAACACAAAAATGTTCATCGTGTATGCATTGATAGGATGAAGATCGGTTGTTTCTAATTGCTTCGGATCGAGGTTATTTTTTAAGTTTTGTTTCTTTGTTTGTTGTTGTTGTCGTCGTCTCGGGAATTGCTCCACATGATGCGTACATGTTCATACGCACGCATACGTAGAACAACATCAAACGATCGACGATTTTTCTATGTTTTTCGTCTGTGGTGATTCTCATTCATTATCGATTTCATTGCGGTTTTCATTTTTTTTTCGAAAGGATTGCAGAGCGAACGGTGGATCGATTGTAGTTGGAAGGTTTAGGGTTTAAGTTCTGTTTGGCGTGAGTGAAAGAGAGAGAATTCCAAAATCAATTGCTAGCTGTAACCATGGTGTCAGTTGAGAGCAGCCTTCCTGCATGATCGATCCTTTTTAGTTTAGTTTATTTATTTATTTTTTTATTTATTTTGACGGTTCGATTAAAAAATTCCCTGCCTTCAAATGGGGAACCAAACGTGCCCTTGCGGTATCATGACTCTTCTCGAGCGTGTTCCGCTGTACACTCCTTAATTCCTCCATAACCAAATAACCGCCCACACCTTCATCATTTTATTAATATATGTATATATGTGTATATATATGTATTGGCGGATTCAAAATTATCACTGTATCGAGCAGATTTTTTGAGGTTTTTGAACGAATCGAAGCATGGATTATGTGAATCTCGAGTAGTGGTATTATAAATTGTGTGGAATTTGTTTGTGTTATCGATGCTTATAATAATTTTTGGGTTACGTATTTGTTTGATGTGTGAAGGTGGAGAGAGGGATTGATTTGGTCTATGGAGGTGGAAGCGTGGGTCTAATGGGTCTTGTTTCTCAGGCAGTTCATGATGGCGGGCGCCATGTTCTAGGGTACTCTCTCTCTCTCTCTCTCTCTCTCTCTCTCTCTCTCTCTCTAACATTCTCTCTCTCTCCACATCTCACACGCACACACAGACGCTTCACAAGACCATGCATGTGTCTCTGTGCGGTTGCACACCAAGTGTTTGTGAAAATGATTAATAAGGAAAATATGAAAAGACATTCATCATTAATGAATTCCTCCTCTTTCATAATTCTCTTGTCGAGCTTTCCCATGTTTGATCTCAGTTTTTGTTTGTCCCTTGAGATTTTCGAACTAATATTTTTGCTTGAACTCAGCTTTTTAAGCAGTTTCTTTGTTTGTTTTTGGCTTTGTTAAGAATATTTGTTTGTTTTTGGCTTTGTTAAGAACAAAAATTCGTATTTTTTTACTTAAAAAAATGAAATAGAAAATAAATTTTGATAAAAAAAAGTGAAAACAAATTTGAATGACAGGAAGTAATATATTTATAATAAATTTATATATAATAAAAATTAGAATTAAGTATAATATCTATAAACGTATGTTTATTATATATACATACATTGTTAGCTAGTATAACCAGCTAAATATACTAGCTACAATTTATGTTCGTTAACGAGCTCGAACGAACAACATAATGCTTGTTTAACAATTCTACTTCCAATCTGTTGTGATTTTTGAAATTGGGTTTCAGATTTACCGGGCAAGGTGGGGATCATATGTTGTCTTTTTTTTGGGTTCAACATCATTTTTTTTCCCTACCTTTTTTTTTATTGCTTTTTAACGACAGCAGTAAAGTTACCACTGCACACAGAAAAAGAAGAGAATGTACTTCTTGTATTTTTGATTCTTACATTCATATGGAAAGTTTCTGATCAACTATCTGGATAAGAGCTGAGTGTAAAGTGCAGTGGAACATTTTGGATCTTTAAATTGAAAAAGGTGGATAAGGCAACCAAAAAAAAAATTAAAATTTCTTGATCAGTTTTAGCAATATGATGAGTGCTTTTTTTTGTTTCACATTGTTCTAAATAACCTTGAAAATGTACATTTTTTCATCTTCTACATAATAATTATGTTTATTTTTCATTTAAAGTTGAATAATAACTCTTAAATTAGCTTCTAAAACTTTTATATGTTCTTACAGGGTTATTCCAAGAACTCTTATGCCTCGAGAGGTATGAAAAGAAGCTCAATTATTCTTAATTCCCTTTCATTAGTTTGGAATTTGGACAGCGAAGAAAGCCGGGTTAATTAATGATGACATTAGATGTCTTAATCGTCCGTTTGGTTGCTTTGAATATTTCTCATTTATACAATTTCAAATAATGTCATGATAGTGTTGCTGTCCCTTTTGTCATGGATACTGTATTCGACATAAAATAATAAGTCTTCCACGTTTTCTCGAATTCAGTTTATACATGTCTTGTCTTTTTTGGCTTATGGATATTTCCATCAATACACATTGTCTTTTAATTTGTGTTTTGAGATCGTAAAATTGTCGCTACAGATTACAGGCCAAACTATCGGAGAAGTGCGCCCTGTGTCGGATATGCACCAAAGGAAGGCTGAAATGGCTAGACAGGCTGATGCATTCATTGCACTTCCGGGTATAGTCACTATATACATACGCTTTCACATTTATCATATATCGTTAAAAAAAAAAAAAAAAAAAAAAAAAAGCATTAACCATTTGCAAGATTAATTGTATGGTCCCGATTATCTTATTGATCTCTCAGGTGGTTACGGCACACTCGAAGAGTTGCTTGAAGTTATCACATGGGCTCAGCTCGGAATCCACTGTAAACCGGTAAACGGCTGGTTTTTAATGTGTTTAATTTTGCTATGTGCAATGCAACTATTTGTTTGTTAAGTATGAATCAAAAGAAAGTGTCTACACTACTGTTTTAAGTGACAAAGTAGTTTTACCAAATCATGCTTTGGGACAAATACTCCACATTTGAAATGGAATGTAATAATAACTTTATTGAACTGGTAATACATTTGTCAACTTGTACCTTTCATGTGTCGTTAGTATTAGTGAGAGGCTTCATATAAATCAATTATTAATTAATTTGATGAAGCATGCTTTGATTTAAAATTTAAATTGGAAAAAGCCATCCATGTGAAACTTGTGCTTGTTCTTCCATACTAAGGCCCCGTTAAGACCAAGTTTTTGGAGTTTCAATTTTCGAAATTTTTTTATTATAGTAGAAATTAAGTATTTGAAATGGTATTTTGTGTGAGAAAATGAGAATGGTTCTTTAATGTTTATACTTTTAGGTGTTTTTGTTGACTTTTGTGTATTATACTTATATAATTATATTTTTGTAATATTTATAGGTGTGGATTGGAAATATTTGATTTAGATTTTGTATTTAAATAATACTCTCTTCCTACGGTCTCTAATGGTTGCATCTACCTTTTGCGTATAATATTTAACACTAAAAACATTTTTATATTTGTATAATTTTTTGTACAAATGTCATTTTTTCTTTATTTGTACTAAGTTTTGAAAGATTAGCATCTAAAAAATAAATATGATCTTTAGAGTCAGACAAATGTAGTATTTAATGTAGTGTTTTGTGAAAGAATACATATAATTTATCGATGAATAGTGCCTATATAAACATAATGTTAGTTTTTCTTTGCAATTATACTACAAGTCATCCTTATTGACATGTTCTCACACTAGCATGCATTTGTCGAAAACTTGGATTATTGAAACGGTTTAGGGTGGTCTTTTGGGCATAGTTTCTTAAACATTGATTTCTCCGGTGGTGAATGAAATTGCAGGTGGGGCTGTTGAATGTAGAGGGTTTCTACAACTCATTGCTATCGTTCATCGATAAGGCCGTGGATGAAGGCTTCATTTCCCCGACTGCTCGTCGCATCATCATCTCCGCACCCACCGCGAAGCAGCTCGTCCGAGAGCTCGAGGTACCTCTCAATACCCTCACAATTATATATATATGTATGTATGTATGTATGTATATATAATGAGGAAGATGAATGCAGGAATATGTTCCGGAGTACGATGAAATAACATCGAAATTGATATGGGAAGAGGTGGAAAGAATAAATTATGGTGCCGAATCTGCAGGTGTTCCTACATCATAATAATAAATAAATAAATAAAATATAATAATAATAATAGTATATATATATATAAGGTGATGAAGTTTAGTAGTAGTATTGAGTGCTTACTACTAGTGTTAATGGTTTTTTTGGGGGGGTTTGGTAGTTATATACGTATTTCCTTTCCTTCCTTTCTGGTCAGTATATACACCAAACCCCTTTTACTCCTTCCTTTCATCTATTATTATTATTATTATTATTATATTTCAACGACCAACAACTGAAAAATCAAATATAAAATCAAATATATATATATATATATAATAGAGATTGATGATAATGATGATGCACAGGAACTTTTTGTTTATTTGATGCTAGGTAGGTAGGTAGGGAGGGGTAAGTAGCTATGCTATAACGATAGCTGTTGTACTCAATACTGATGACCCTCATGATCTTGATCAATGATGATGAAGCTAATATTATTATTATCTTTGTATGTTTGGAAATTCAAACATTAATTGCAGGGGTGTTTTAGGAAATTGGCATTTTAACCACCATTCTGGTCGTGCCTGAAAATTAGAGAAGATGACAGAATAATAATTATTTATTATTATTATTATTATTAATTAATTAATTAATCCTATAGGCTCTAGTTGTGCAGAGAGAAATTGTAGTGTAGGCCACATGCAGATCAAATAAAGCGGCAGTTTCCTGACCGTTTATGATCGATCGTTCTGTCTTCTGAACCCGCACGTTATTTCTGTTGGCTAGTTGGCTGCCTCTGGCTGACTGGAACCCCATTTACGTTAAATAAAAAAACGTATATTTAAATTTATAGATTAAATATTTTGAAAATATTTATTTGGGGTGTGTTCGGGGATTTGGATTTAGTTGAGATTAAAAAGTAAAAATTTTAAATTAAAATAGTTACATAAATAAATATTTGATGTGATATTTTGAATATAAAATTAATTTTTAGTATAATATAAAAAATAAATATAAATATTTAATTTGATATTTTTACATAAAAATAATTTGATGAATAGTAATTTTTGAAAAAATTCCATAGACAAACACACCATGCTTGGATGACCCATTGGTTAGGGAGATGACATTTTAAATATTATAGTTTACTAAGTTATTAATAAGGTAACGATATTAGATAGTGTGACTTATTATGTTATGATATTATTTTATTATTTTATATATATATATTAATATATTAAATACTTTTAATATTATATTTTAATCAAATATATACGATATAGTTATTATTTTGTAAAAAATAAAAACTTTAATATTTAACAAATGTATTTATTTATTTATTGTTACTATAAATTAGTTTTATAAAAATATAAGAGTTTTGAAGGAAGATAAAAATATTTGTTAATTGAGAAGAGATAGAAACAAAGAGTTTTTAATAAGTCATGCGTGTAAATAGACTGGAAATTTAATTAAATTTTGAATGGGTAAGTGTCAATTGAATTATATTTATTAAATATATTTAAAATTAAAATCATCTTTTATATTGGTCAAAAAGGAAAAAAAATGCGGCCTCGTGGAGAGAGTATTTGACTTTAAATTTAAATATTATATATGGAATTGAGTGAGTAATGTACTCTCTTCTTGAGAATTAAAAAGTAATAAATTTGGATTAATTAAAATATTATGAAATATTATTTAATTAAGACACTTAATTTCATCACTATCATTCAAATAAAAAAAATTTTTTGTTCCAAAAATAAGTATCTATTTGCTTTTTGATATTAGTATTATATTGAAATATATTAGAAATTAAGTAGAAATGACTAAAATAATCTTATTAGTATGTGTGATATAAATGTAATGACATTTGTGTAATATATTATAAGTTGTAAGGGTATTTTTAATGTCAGGTAGACAGTACAACTACTAATGAGATTTTGTTATGGGACGGGCTAAAATGAAAAAATGGATACTTTATTATGGGACGGAGAGAGTATATATTTTTCTACCACGTTATATAATTTTCATTTCATTATATCCGTCTAAATTCTCATTACATAATCAAAATATTTCACCTTATATGGAATGAAAAGAATATTTTTAAATTTATAGAAAAGATATTTCTTTCGATCAAACTTAAAGTATTATTTTTACTATATTCGTCTTTCCACTCTAAATGTGAAACCCCGGTCCACAAGCCACGCAAAATCTAGTGTGTCATAATCGCATATTGGCCCCACAAGTCAATACGAGTGCTTCAAACGTGCTTCTATCTTTACTCACATGCAGTGATCAGACGTGCTTCTATCTTTACTCACATGCAGTGATGAAACTAGCATCTAAATTCTGGTGAGGCAATATGATTTAATATTTAGCTAATAAATTTAAATAAATAATAATGACAGAATTATATATGAATTTAGATAGTTATGGTGGGACAAATTGTATATAAATACATACAAATTAATATTTTTAATACTAAAAAAATCATAAAAAAATTGGCTTGGGGTCAATTGACCCCAAACCCGAGTGTAGTTACGTTCCTGCTCACATGCACATTGGGAGACTTCCAGGGGTCACTCACTCTCAAATAGCCTATTCAATTTATTTAATTTCAATCAATTTCGAATAGTCTAATACCGATTAATTTACGCACGGGGTTAGCCAAGCAACGGCCCAACTTCAGGGTATCACAACAAAATATCCATTTTTTTCATAACAAATAACCATATACTAATACCAAAATATCATTAACTTTTACCTAAATTACAAATAATTATTACATTTTTTTTTTATCGTATTTTTACTAACCAATAAAATAATATTATAACTTTTTACTTATACTACAAACCTCAAAAGACCATCTAAAGTAGGATGGAGGGAGTAATAATTCGCAGCTGCTACTCGAGGAATGCGCTCTGAGTAAACTCTGGCCGAATTTAATATTTTACAAATTAAGCTCGACAAAATAAGTCACTCTAGACAAACTATGTGTGACAAATGAACCTTGAGACATTGGAATTTGAACCCATAATTTCAAGATCATAAAAAGACATTCGAATTTGAACCCATGATTTCACAGTCGAAACATCACTCCCGACAATTATACATTTTCCATTTACAGACATGCTACATTTTTACAATCAAATTATTATTATCCTCGTCTAAGGATCATGAAGCAGAAGCTAATTTATTATCAGCCGTTGATCTCCTCCTCCTCCTCGGATCCCTCACCTTAATCCTCCAATGTCCGTCGGGAAACTTCTCCTCCCTCGCCTTCTTCCTATACTTCCCAATCCTCGCCTCCATCGCCGCCGTCAGCCCGCAGTACGGCCGCAGCTCCGCCGCCATCGTTTCGTACACGCGCCACCACCTCTCATTCGCCGAGTCACTCGCGAACACCCGATACGACGCCGTATCCCAATTACAATCATAATCCTTATAACACATCCACGGCTTTAACCCTAGGTAATGTATCGCCGCCGCATCCTCCCCGATCCGCCGCCCGCCGCCGCCGGTCGACCCGAAGAACTTCAGCCGGTTCGCTTTCCCCGGCAGGCGGTGCCACCAGGTGAACATCTCGTTTAAAAACCCTTGGTCGCCGCCGTTGTACGATCCGACGGCGAACCGCCGGTCCATCAGCGCGTCGAAAGCGCACTCCGACGGCGAAATCACCATCACGCCGGAGTTGAAGATGTGGCCGTCGTTGCCGGCGGCGGAGAGCGGTGGGTAATTGAAGAGTCCGTCGAGGTTTCCGGCGGCGATTAGGTCGGAATCGATGAAGATTAGCTTGTGGTAGTCGGTGAGCTGCCATATCCGGAGCTTGCTGTAGTTCCATTCGTTGTACGATCCTTGTTTGGCGTGGGGGCTTTGTATCCGTTCGATTCGCCGGACTTTCCATCCCGCCGATTTCAGGCCGTCGATGGCCGCCGGCGATATGTGGTCGTCGGCGAGGAGGATTAGGTCCTTGGTGGAATTTGATTGGATGATGCTCTGCGCCAGGACTATTGCACCGCACACATATGATTCTGACGAATGGAGGACTGACACGTACGCCTCCCGCCGATCGCCGGCCGAAGAACGTTCTGGAACCACAGATGCTAAACGTTAATGCCCGTACTTACTCGTTCTTACGTTGTTTTAATTTGTATGTCAATATTTTTGTATATTTTTGTATATTGTAATTTTATTTTTAAATTTTAAATTTATAATATTTTTAATTTTAAAATCCATTATTTTATTATTAATCTAAATTTATTTTAATATTCAACAATTACTTTTATTAATATATTTTTAATTATTTACTAATCTCCAAAAAAGTAAATAGTAAGTACACGTTGATGGAGTGAGTAATATATTATATAATTATATATACTAAAATATATTTTGATTTCAATACAATGATAATTATTATTTGACTCAATTAGCAAATATCTATAAAAAATATAATATATTTTAATATAATATATAGGGACCGAACATATGCTATATTTCTTATAATATAATGCTAATTAATTTTAGCTTAATGTGTTACACAATCTAGTTTGTGACAAATTGTTATTTGCTTCATATAAATTTATTAATTTGATCAAATCAACAAAATGCTGATCTGATCTCATCACATTCTAACTGCAGTCATTTAATTTATATTTTTAAAATATTCTATTCGTCCCTCATATTTAGTCTAGTTGAGCCCTAGAATTAGAATTAAGAAAAATAAATTTATTAAATTTTAAAATATTCTATTCGTCCCTCATATTTAGTCTAGTTGAGCCTTAGAATTAGAATTAAGAAAAATAAATTTATTAAAATATAGAAAAAATAAAGAGGTAGTTAGAGGTATTTTAAAAAATTTAGTCAGTAATTAAAATAAATAAAGGTAAACAATGTAACAAAGCTAGTGACATTTATGATAAATAAGTATTAAATAAATTATAATAATTAAATATAAATTTTTTGAAATTTTCAAATATAATAATAAGATAAATTTAATGACATGACAAAAATTGTCGGATATAATAGTACCAAAAATTTTAAAATTACTTGGTCATAATAGCATGTAATAAACTTACCATATTGGGGAAGTGGAGGAGCAACTTGACAACTTCCAACAGGCATAACAACCTTCTCTCTAAGTAATTCCAAATTAGGTTTATACACAAAAACATTCCCACCATTATCATCACCACTCCAAAACAAATCATCACATCTAAAAATCTCCCACATTGCTCCATCAATCTTCCCTAAAAACACACCAAACCCTAATTTTCTCCCACTTCTCACCAACAAATTAGCCACAACTAAGTTCACTTGCAACCTACCCACATCCCGGGCCCCGCCGCCGTCGGGGACTCGGGCCACGACGACATCCAAGTCGCGATACTCCTCGAATCTTGGCATCGGGAGGGAAGGGCAATTCGGAGGGGCGTTTTCGTCGATCCACTCAGGGTAGATATCCGACCATTTGATATTGTTTTGAACTCTTGTGAAATGCACGTTCACGATATTTTCCTCTGTGTGGAATATCGTTTTGGTGGCGTTTTGATCATGCATGTTCACTAATCCTACGTTGATATGCCTATGCCCGATTTTGCGAGCTATAGCCTCGAACCATTCAGGGTTTTTTTCTGGTAAGATTTTTTTAGCTGGAGTGAGAGTGGGAGTCGGTTTGTTTCGAAATTCGCAGTGGAGGTGGACGAGATAGCGGAGGGTGAAGAAAACGAGGGCGGCGGAGAAGATGATGAAGGTGAAAGGCTTGGGCTTGGAGGAAGATTTGGAAGCCATGGATGTATATGGTGAAGGTGATAAAGAATTTATATGTATATATATATATATATATAGAATATTTAAATTTTGGAGGGAAAGGGAAAAGGAATATTTGTGATTTTAGGACATGTGACATGTTAGCACGTTGTGATCGTGTTGTATGTATGTATGTATATATATATATATATGCATATGTGTGTGTTTGGTGAGGATTTGCACAATGAGGGTGGCATGTAAGGCATATATTTAATGTTGATTGTCTTCTTAACAAACTTTTAGCTTTGTTTAAATATATACTCCCTCCGTCCCTGTATTACCGTAGACACGAGAATTTAGATAAAGTATAATTAGTAAATAATCAAGAAGTGTATTAGTAAATTAATTATAAATTAAGATTAAAATAAGTAAATAGTTTAATTAAAATTAAGAAAATTATAAAATGTAAAATATGATTAAAGTGCATAATTATATTTTCAAAAATAAAAAGGACAAGTTATGTGGGACGGACGAAAATAGAAAATAGGAACAAATTATGTGGGATGGAGGGAGTATATATGGTTTACTTATTTTTAGTGTTTTAGTTTGAGTTGTTTTTTAGGTGAGAAACTATGTCGATAATATAAAAAAATAATATTTTATATTAAAATATTAATTTTTGTAATAAAATAGAATATGTATATAATACATTATATGTGGGCCGTTTCGAATTTTTTTTGGGCCTTGAGCACAAAGTAATTTTAGGCCTTATAAATACAAAATTAAATGTATATTAAAAATAATATTAGTGGCTTGGCCTATATAAGAGGTTGATGGCAATTGTCTGACAATGTCGGGAGAGGAAGATGGAAGACGGACCTGGAAAAAGATTTATACGACGATTAAACTTGAGAAAATGAGATGCAACATGGTTAAAAAAAAAAAAAAATAGAAAAAATATATAATTATAATTTAAATTTAAATTTAAAATTTTAATATAAAAATTAAATTGGATAACTCATAAGTAATAAATCTAAACTAAAATTTATAATTTAAGTTTAAAATTTAATAATAATAATAATAATAATAATGATAATAATAATAATAATAATAATAATAAGATAATATTTTTAAATATGGATCATCTCTTAATTAAGGTCAATAGTTGTTGCTTACCCTGCTTTTTTGCTAAAAGCAACTTATGATTAAATGGATAGCAGCTTATGATTAAATGGATGTGTGCACATATTTTATATTTTATTAAATTTTTATTGAAGATTTTTATTAAAAAAATTTGTTGAGTAAACATATTTATAATTTTTAAAATTTTAATATTATTAATAGTATTTTATAAAATATTACATTAAATATTTTGTTTTTTTTATTATATATATATTTTTTCATCAAATGCTCAATAATTTTTTAGTATCATCAATTCAAAACTATACAATTATGAGTGATAAAAATATAAATTTATAGTCCCGTAAGGGACGGCCTGGTGGTGTGGCGCTTCAGGTCACTTGCCACGTATGATTTGCCTAGTGTGACTTGCCCTGCGGGTTCCTACGTCATCAGAAAAAATAAATATATATATATAAATTTATAAGTGAATTATATGGTAAAAAACATTTATAATCTATGTTCCAATTCATAACAAATACTATATCCTTATTTATTTCACTACAAAAAAATATCAATTTTGTAACAAAGTTTTTTTTTTTTTTTTTTGTCTCTAAATCCTCTTTTTCCGTTACTAAAGACATTAGAGAGGGAATTGCGTTAACTACACACTTTAAGAACGAAATTTCGTTACTAATATACTATTTTTTTTGTAGTGTTTATTTATTTCATCATGGTATAGTTACAATGTTGTTTAGGATTAATAACATGTAATAATAATAATAATGATAATAAACAAATAGCATATGGTAATTGTACATAGTTTTTAAGCACACAATATATTTTAAAATATGCTTTATGAGTACATCTCATATGTTGAAGTCAATAATAGTGTTATGTTAATTATTTTTATATTTTATCGTATTTATATGTTATATTTGTATTATATTAATATTTTATTATCTGTATTTTATATTGCCCTACCTAAATTAGCTATTTTACATATATTGTCTACTAATCTTAGTTCAATTAACAATTTACCTCACATTTACTTATATTTACTAAAATGTTATTTCACATTTCACTCTTGATCTAAATAAATCCGAAGATATTTGAAGGAGGTGTTTGTTTGGAGGTTTGAATTTTGATTTGAAATTGGAATAGTAAACATTTTGAGTTAAAATAGCTGTATAATTGAGATATAAAATTAATTTTTAATATAATATGAAAAATAAAAATAGGTGTGTGATTTAATATTTTTGGAATTTTTTTTTATAAATAGTAAAAATTGATTGAAAACCTTGAAAAGAACACACTCGAAATTATTTTTAAATGAATTTTTATTAGAATTTTAATTTAAATAATAATTTATTAAAAAGATAAATTATTATTATTAAATCGATGAAAAATAATATTCCGTCCATTTATAATTGTCCTAAAGTTTATTTGCACAATTTTTTAGGTAATTATCTTTTTGATATGAATTGGCAAATTTATTTTTTATGATAAGGTAGAGATTGAAAGTAATAAATAAATGAAAGGTAAAAAATAAAAATTGTGTTTAAAAAAATAATAGGACAATAGTTATTACACATCCCAAATAAAAAAAATAGTACATTAGTTTGTGGATGGATGAATGGATAGAGTATTAATATAAAAAAAATCAAATGTGATTGGTTTGAACACAAATTAAAAAATTATAAAAAAAAAAAAAAAAAATCCAAATAACTTCCGAGTCTCGAGGATGCGGGATCTGCTACAGTCGCGCCCACGGTAAGGAAAGGGAAGAGGTGACATGAAATTCCAAAAATACCCTGGGGCATCTTCTTCCATTTCTCCGTTCTCTCCTAAACAACTGCCATGCCATCAATGAAATATACAGCACAGGAAGCCAATGAATTATTATTATTATTATTATTATTGCAGGCAAAGATAAACGACACCAAACTGCAATTAGGGTTTCAAATCCTCTCCGTTCACCTCTTCCAGCTGCATTTCCTTTCCCCTCCTCAATCTCCACTTTCCAATTTTCATTTTTACTTTTGGTTCTGGTTGGGAGCAGAATTACGACGACGACGACGCCTGGAATTTCCGAGAGTATTTTGATTTCGATTCACGAGGGGGGAAGGCATTCCCCATGGGAATTAATACCAGGTAATCTTTTAAATTCCGGTTTGAAATGTATATCTATGTATGTATCTATCCATTGTTTGAATTGATGCCTGAACGATGATGTTGTGAGGAGTTTCGTTTGATTTGGATGCGGTTGTTTGTTTATATTGGTGTATTTTGTAGGAAATTTCTGGCGACGAGAAACTTGACCTGAACCGTTGTTTTATTTGTTTTTCTTATCAAAAATTGTGGTTGAGTTTGAGGAATTGAGTGAGGAAAACGAATGCATTAGAGGCGGAGGTGTTGGGGATTTTGATTTCTGAATCTAATCGAACATTTTACGTACTTGTTGGAGGAGCAATTTCATGATTGGATTTGAAATGGATTTCGATTTCTGAATCTAATCGAAGAACATTTTTACATACTTGTTGGCGGAGCAATTTCATGATTGGATTTGAAATCTGATTGATGCGCACGATCTACATCCATGGAGAGCTGCAAATCGCCTCTATTGAAGAGCCATTCCAATTCCAATTCCGAATCCAAATGCTGCGACTGCGCCTGCAGCTGTTCATCAACGACGATGAGCAGGTCGCTTTCGGGGACGAATCTTCAATCCTTCAAGCGCAAGCACGTGGAATTAGAGGAGCAGCATCAATCCGCCATTCCTCAAAACGCCCGTGTTGAGATCGAAAATGAATGCAAGGCACTCAGGGAGGCTGTTGGCCGACAGCAGCAGACGATACAGGATCTCATCTCTGATTTAGAACAGGAAAGGAATGCATCTTCCTCAGCTGCAAACGAGGCCATGTCTATGATACTCAAGCTGCAGAAGGAGAGGGCAGAGATAGAGATGGAGCTGAGGCAGTTTCAGCGATTTGCAGAGGAGAAAATGGCACATGATGAGCAGGAGATGTTGGATTTAGAGGAGTTTCTGTACAAGAGGGAGCACGCCATTGAAGCACTCAACTGTGAGGTCCAAGCATACAAGCACAGACTGATGAGTTTCGGATTATCAGATGCCGAGGCCGACGAAGCCAATTCGGCTAACGGCGAGAGCCTTATGAACAGGAACAACAGCATTGCAGAGAATCTTGAAGGCCAGTTCGAAATTCCCAGCTTCGAATTCTATCCACAGCTCAAGTGCAAGATAAACGAATCCCACATCTACCACGACGACGATGATCTCACCGAAATCGAGAGGTCTGCATTTGGGGATACGCCGTATTCTCGTGATCAATTGAAGGATTTGGAGTTCCGAATCAATCAGCTCGAGCAGAGTCCGAGGACCATTCAACCTGACAGTGCCAAGATTGTGTTCGAAAATGTAATCGCAGGCCAATCTCCAAGGCGTCCTCGGCATCTCAGGAAGGTTTCAACCGACAGCATGTATTCTCCGTTCAAAGGAATCGACTTTGATTATGCGACAGAGTCTCCGAAGTTTGGTGCCACCATCAAGAAAGTGTACTCTCATATGGACATGAGCTCGAATTTAAGGAAGGCCGACAATGCATCTGAATATGGCGACGAAATGTGCGACAGAGTTTACACTATAGATTCTATTCATCAAAGAGCTTCTGTTCACGGCGCCATGGATACGACTACTCCGAGAGAATCCCTAATCCATTCGGACATGAGAGACCTCGAAATTCAGAAGCTCTACGCCAGGCTTCGCGCTCTGGAAGCGGATAGAGAATCGATGAGGCAGGCGATTGTTTCTGTCGGCACTGATAAAGCACAGTTGGTGTTGTTGAAGGAGATTGCTCAAAACTTGTGCAAAGAAATGTCGACGTCGAAGGCCAATCCTGTGGAGAAGCAGTCGGGCGTTAGGAGGTTCTCATTCGTGTCCGCATTCAAGGTTTGCAACAAATGCCTTTGCTCTCAATATCTTATTAGCCGTTGAATATGATATTTCGAAGAATTTTGTTGAAAACATAAGTGAACAAACCTAAATTTAGCGAACTCCGGCAAGGTTTAGAGTTCTTGTAATGCTCCTATGATGACCTTTTGTATGTGTTCTTCGATTGCGCTCGCTTCTTGTGATTTTCCACCTCTCGATCATCCTGATTCATATTAACATGGCTCCTCCTCCTCTTGCAGTCGATCATGTCATTTATTTTCTGGAGAAGACGAGCACGCCGATGCAGGTATGTATATACATTCCTCACACACAACACACTTTGATGGTATTAGACACATTCTCAATGAAAAGAACCCGTAGTTTTGAATTTCAGATAATGTTACACAGCGGTCAACCTTCAAAATGCTATATCAAATAATGATAGCAGATAGCAGGATGATCGCTATTTAAGAACTTAAAAGTATCCCTATAAGAATGACTATAAATTTATAAGATATACACATTTATAATAAAAATGCATCAGAAAAATCTATAAACTAATCTCATAATTATCATTCAAAATAAAACAAAATTGTCCGTAACCCCTGTAGTTTCAAAAGTTAGCTTAAATCCTCCTGTATTTTAAAAATTATACGGCGTCCCCTTACATTTTAAAAAGCGTTGCATGGAATCTCATTTTATATTTTTTGCCGTGATGAGATGATTTTTCATTTATATTTTTTGCATGGCAAGGGGTTTCATGCAACGTTTTTTAAAATATAAGGGGACGTTACGCAATTTTTAAAGAATACGAAGAATTTACGCTGAATTTCTAAGCGACACGACAGAGGTGTTATGGGCAATTTGGCCTTCAAAACAATTAATATATAGTTATATCCGAAAAAAACAATTAGATCGCTACAACTTTAATAAATAGATAATCAAAGTTAAAGCAAAATTCAAATCAGAATTTTTTATTTTTTTTAATTTTTTTTATTGTCACTCTCCTCATTTCTACTATTATCCCAGTCAAGCTTCCTTCATTTCTTCACTAAATGCTCGTCGCCTTGCACAATGTTCTTTTCCATTTTTCGAGGTAAAAGTAGTAGCTATAGCTTTCTTTCTAATTGACGATGTGTTTTAGGCACAGTTTTGGGTTGTCCCCGGAGAAGGAAGGGCTGCTGTTGCTATTAGACCGAAGCTCCCGAGTAGGGCAGTGGAGATCGGTATCTATATCCGCATTGAACATGTGAAAAACTCGGGATGCCCAATGGCTGCCTCCGTGTGTGTGTGTGTGTGTCTCTGTGATCGATCATCTCATCTCGTATAATCTGTTGTGAAGTGTGGTTGCAGCATCCATGAATCCTCCATCCATGTGTCCCGGACCGAGAAAAATGAGTCGAGGAGGAACCAACCGATCCGTTACACATGGGTCATGAGGTATGTATGCATTTATGTATGTATGTATGTATGTATGTATGTATTTTTATGTGTTGGAATGTGTTTTGTCATTTTCTTTGAATGTTTTGTTTATTTGCTGGATTGGATTGGGTTTGGTTTGGTCTGGTCTGGTAAATTCATTTCATTTTATTGAGATGAGAAGATCCTCATTCATTTTTAGAAAAATTATAGATATAATATGCATATACATACATACATATATATATATCTATGATGTATGTATGATTTGAGTGCAGCTGCATATTAGAAAATCCCCCATTGATATTTATGAATGTGTTTTTGTTCATCTCTAAACTTACGGTAGTGAATTCGACTTGGTTTGGCTCGTTTAAAGTTGTGTAGTGTAATTGATTGTAAATATAAATAAAATAAGATATAAAAAATATTTAATGAGTCGAATTGAGTCACGAATTAAATTTAACAAAAATAAAATAAAATCTATATAAAATTGGGAAAAAAAAAGTAAAATTTGAAAACATGCCTGTAGCATAAAATAAAAATCATGACACTTAAGCTCATGTGTAATAGCCTTGTATGTAAAGTTTGTTTGTGTAATTTACCTATTTATCACTCTGAATAATGCAAATAAAATAAAAACTTTACATCTATACAGAAGCCTCTAACCTATAATAAAAGGGTAAATTATATTTTACAGCGATAAAATTGGTACATTATGCAATAAATAAAATACATAATATTTTATATAAAATACGAAAGTATATGATGCAATATTACCCTATATATGATAACATGATTTTCATTTATCATGCAAAAATGTGACACTCTAAAACAACCTCACTTTAGAGGGGAAAAAAAAATCAAAAACAAAAACAAAACAAATTTGATAAGTCTCAAACTCCATTGTTGGCATAGCCTTAAGCTTTTGGAGCTCCCCCTTAAGCCCCCGGGTGCAACTTCATCCGGCGCAACGATAGGTACGCGACGAGCCTATACCCGACAACCATAGCCCCGAGCACGCCGGCTTCTTTGTACCCGTCCCCGACCCTCACACCGTGTATCGTGTGGCTTAAGTGCCCGTACTGCACCTTCAAGAGAAGCTTGTACGTGTGGTAGTTGTACGAGAGGTACCGAAGCCACGAGATGAACACCGGCACATCCTACAAACACATACACTTAGATTTTAAAATCATAGATAGAATTTCGATTTTAAAATAAAAAATCAAAGATCAAAGCTTGAGTTTGAACGCATGGCCTCGTTTAGTCGACTTAGAAAATGAAATAATAGACTCGACTCGAACAACAACTCTAGCAATTCCTGCATAGTTACCTTCACGAAGTATCCGCCGGCGAGCATAAATGTCATAACCGTAACCGAAGCAAGAGTCGTCGCCTTCTTCAAATCCATGAGCGTCGCCCCAATGACGAGCCCCAATCCCTGCCGTCACTTTCGCGCAATCGATAAACATATACATATATATGTATGTATATCTATAGATGAGGTAGTATTATTACCTGAGCAGCAATAATGCAAAGAAAAACAATCGATATTGTAAGGAAAAATGCCGCGGTATCCATCCTTAGCCCCGCCATGAAGTAGACGACGAGAAGAAATATCACCGGCAAGATGAGGTCGAGCGGGAGATCACTCGTCGTTCGAGCCATGAAATAAGCACTTAATCTGTACATATCGGCCGCGCGCTCCTTATTAAGCATCGCACGCTCTTGAGGAAATGTGAAGATCGCCGTGAACACCGGGAAGAATCCCCAAAACACCGATATGAAGAACAACAACCCGGCCTAAAAGAATCGAGACGTTAATTATGCAATAGATTAGGTTAAAACAGGCGCGATGATTCATATGTTTTGATACGCATCTTCAATATTAAATGATCATTTCATCTAAAAGTTTAAGTTTAAAGAGATAAATATTACTCTCTTCATCTCGTATATGATTATGACTAGTTTAGTTAGCGACACAGTTAATATCCTAATAAAATATATTTCTTGATAATAAAATTTTATATAATACAAATAAATAAAAAAATATATATTTATTTATAATTAATTTAAAACTAATTTTATACTCTTCGTCCCAACTAATTCGTCTCATTTAAGCTTAGTTACGAAGTTTTAGATATTGTGTAATTAGTAAATAATTAAAAAGTATATTAATAAAAATAATTATAAATAAAATTAAGATGACTAAATTTTTTAATTAAAATAAAAAAAATATAAATTATAATTTTAAAATGCAATTAAACTGTATAATTATATTTCTATAAAAAAAATGACAAATTATATGAGACCGATTAAAATAGAAAGAGTGAACAAATTAAATGGCACAAGTAAAAAAAATATAGAGTTTTAAATATAGATAAAGATATTTATTTATTAAGAAGATAGAGTTTTGAGTCAAACCTATTTGCACAAAGTTAGAAATTTAATTAAATTAATTTATATTTATTAAATATATTTAAAATAAAAAAATCTACTAAAAAAACAAACATTAAAAAAAAATCATCTGTAACCGGACTGAGTGAATATTAATTATTATATAGTCAACCAACCTGGTCTTGAAGTTTGCTTGGATCGTCGCTACCGGATTGCCACCAAAGCATCCCCAAAACTGTCGCGGTCGCGACGACTTGCGTGATCCTCAACCAACTAAAATAGTCGTGTCGACGCTCCTTGAGGCCTCGACAAAATAGTATCGAATATTGGTTCCCCCAACTGGCTCCCCATTCTCTCGTCTTGCTACGCACTTTAAGCTCGTCGTCGATGGGGATTGGCGCCATTAATTTCTTCTTCTCCGCCTCGGCGACCTTCGTCTCATATGCCTCGACCAAATACTACGGCATTTAAGATTTAATTACCTCTCGATGATCGATAAAAATCGCGAATAACATTAATATACGATCGATCAAATCGATTCGTCTTAGAGTGATTAATTAATTAATTACCTCGTGCACCACCGCCGGAGCCGGTTTTCCATCCTTGGTTCGAGCTTCGGGGTTCCCGGTTTGGACTCGATCCATCCATTCGGACGGGACGGAGATGTCGATTACATTTCCGTTTGCTAAGTCGAGCATGAATTCCGCAGGGTTCATGGCGATGAGCGGCGAGCATCCGATCGACGAGAAATAACCCATCGCTTCCGATGCTTTTCCGAAGTAAAGCAAACTCCCTTTTCCGAGAAGAATGAGCTTGTTGAACTTGAGGAATAGTCGACTCGACGGCTGGTGAATCGTCGTTATCACCGTTTTCCCCGCCTGTATATATACATATATGCGTGTGCGTTACACAGTTTTATTACACATCTTTGCGACATGTAGAGCGTCGATTTAGTGCATGTTCCGATTGTACACTACAAGAAAAAATCATTTTTGTAACAAATTTTTTTTTGTCTCTAAATCTACTTTTTCGTTACTAATGACATTAGAGACGAAATTAGGAACGGAATTACGTTAGCTACGTGAACTTTAGGGACGGAATTCCGTTACAAATATATTATTTTTTTTTGTAGTGGTATGTCGTTTGCTTAGAACTATTAAATGAACCGAGTCGTTCATGAATTCGGTATGGTTAAAGTTCGTTCAGGAAAGTTAACGAGCGGAGCGGTACAATATAAACAGGCTCAATTAATTAACGAACGAGCCTGAACTTTGTTCGCAATTGTTCGTTAAAATAATATATTTATTATAAATATTATATATACATATAAAATTATATTTTATAAATAAATAAGTTAAAATTTCAACTTAAAATAAATAAATAAAATAATTTTATATTTTCTTTTTAATTTATATTATTCAGAATTTTCTTTTTAATTTATATATAAATTAAAAAAAATGATACAAACGAGCTCGAACGAGATTAATCGTGCCAAACACGAGCTCAAACTATAAATATTCTTATCAAGCCGAGTTCGAGCACTGCGAACGAGCTCGAAAGCTTAACGAACAAACATGAGTCTTGTTCGCGAACGTTAACAAACAAACATTAACACTTAAAATTTTGTTCGGCTCAACTCGTTAACAGCTCCATGCTTACTTTCTAACTCATACTTGATTTCGACACATAAGTATTATAGTTCGAATGTATGTACCTCGGCTATGTTGTGCAATGTTTCTACGATCCTTAAGGCCGTGGTGGAGTCGAGGCCGGAAGTTGGCTCGTCGAGGAACAATAGGGAAGGATTTACGATAATCTCGTTACCGATACACACACGCTTCCTCTCCCCGCCTGAAACTCCCCTTACAAACGATCCACCGATCATCGTGTCTTGGCACCTAAAAATACACGACGACGAAAGTTCATTTACATACAACATATATACTTCATCTGCCATTTAAATCTCTACTCAAACTTTTTGGTCACATATTTTGATGTAAATGTTTTACTAAAGAGAAAACTTAGGATATTTTTTTTTATGATAAGATATAAAGAAGAGTGAATATAGATCTGAATGATAATATATAATTTTACAAACATAAATTCAATTTCTAACAATGATATGTAAGAAAATTTCGAAATATAACTTAGATTGTTTTCTTTTGTATGTTTTATCACAATTGTTTGCTATTCACATTCCTTTTTTTTCTTTTCAAAATATCAAATCAAACAATTATTTTTTGTTTTTATATTATACTACAAATTTATTTTACATTCAAATATCACATCAACATCTATTTATATCACATCAAACAACTATTCAAATTCAATTATTTACTATTCAAAAATCCAAACTAAAAAATTCAAACTCACAAACAAACACAACCCTTAGGATGTGTTTAGTATAGAGAAACGAGGCAGAAATAGAAATAATTGTCTCATTTCTCTTATTTGTTTGTTTGTTTGAGTAGAGAAATAAAATTTGAGAAATAAATCATTTTTATTTCTCTCTCATATGTAGAATTGAAAAAAATAATATTGCAGTATATTTTTTATTTTGTTTATCTTTTTGTACTATTTAATTATTATTATTTTTTTAAAACTATATTATTTCAATTTTACAAAAATCAAATTTAATTTATTGTTAAAGTATTTAATTTTTACGATTTTTTAAGAAATTGTACTAAAATACAATCTTAAAAACATTGTATATAATTTATAATTTTTTTTAAAAAAAAGTCACCAAAAATATTTATATGAATTCTCATTCATTAAAAATCTTTTTCTTTTTTTCGATCAATCATTTATTTTTATTTGATTCATTCATATTGCTGCATTTTTTGTTTTATATTTCTCAACTGAATTTTTTATTTTATCAAACAAGAGAATTAATTCTATTTTTTACTCAATTTTATTGTCTGTACCAAACGCCCCCTTAGATTTTACGAAGTCCTATACCGTTGTTTGTAATAAAACTAACCTCTCGAGGCCGAGCTCGTATATAATGTCCTTAGCTCGTTGTTCCTTCTCGACTTTGGTCAACGTCTTCGGAAGGCGCAATCGAGCGGCGTATGTCAACGTTTCCCTCACGGTGAGGTGAGGGAAGAGAACATCGTCTTGAGTCACGAATCCTATCCTATAATGAATTCGATGATATATGTCCCGATAAGGAACCCTGTAATGATACCGTAATTTTGATGACCGTTATATATATATATATCTATCTCACCGGCATTTTAGCGACTTGGAATAGCGTTGATCGTTGTACGTTATGGAGCCACCGTGAGGAGGCTCTTTTGCGCGCCCTCCGAGTAGGCTTAAGAGAGTTGTCTTGCCGCTGCCGGATGGCCCCATTAGCGCTAAAACCTCGCTGGGGTCGACGCAGCCGGAGATGCCCTTTAATATGTCTTTTTCGACGGTGGATGTCATGCCTTTTAGGACAACCTTGTATGTTACATCTGTGAACTGGGTAAACAAATTTTGTAATTAAAGACTGTTAGAATGTGAAAAAATGTGAAAAAAGATTAAGGATGCAGAGAATGAGATAGTAGATAAATGATAGTAAATAATAGAATTGTAAAGAAAAAAAATAAAAAATTCAATAGAAAATAAGAATTGATTATTACGTTGAAATGTTCAATGAGAGAAATTATGCATATGAGTGTTAGATTAAGCTATTCAAAAGAAACACAATATTTGCAAAATGATTTATAAAACAAAATGATGATTTAAATATATTGATAAAATGATTTATAAAAATGAGAGGATGAATCACATAAGAGATGTTTCAACGAATAAATATTTGTATATTTAATTAGTGATTTTTTTTTATTTATGTTATTTAGTTTTAGTTTTGATTTTTTTTTATTTGAATAATAATTTAAATATGATGTGTTATAAAATAAAATAATTTATATTTTTTATTTAATTCTTTTTCTATTTTCAAATCAATCCAAAACCACTTAACACTTATTATCATCATTTATATCTAAACAAAAGTTCGTGACTTTTGCATGCTAAAAATAAATAAGGTTTTTTTTTTTTCTTTTCTTTTTAATAATGTGTGGATATTCAGCTGCTAATCTTTAAGTGACAAGACCTAAAAGCATCGGAGTCTGAACCTATCGAGTGCATCCCTATATCACCAGACCATTTTTTGTGGAACAATATAAGACATAACATTTTATATTGAATACTAATATTTTGTAAAATAATAAAATATAATATATTATATATATTAAAAATCAAACCGAAAAAAATAATAATAAAAGAACAAATCTTAAATAAATAAAATGTGATTAATTTCGTAGAACGAAAAGTATTCGTATAACTTACCTTGAGGTAGATTGGGAGAGTTGGTTCTGTTTGGAGTTTCTTCTTTTCTCTGACTCCTCCTCCTTCGAGGTCTTCGTCTGTATCGTAACAAAAACATTCATTACAGTGCTGATTGAAATTAATTAACATCATACTCTAAATATATAAAATAAAAATAAACAATGTATAAAGTATAATTCGACAATATATATATATATATTAATATGATATGATATAGTATGTAGATTGAAATCATATAATAGTAGTCTGTAATATATCATACTATTGATTTTAATACAGATTATATGTTAATATAACACACCTGTAAAATATAAAATAACAACATATTATAACATTTGCAACTTATGATATACTCCGTTTGTTCGACTATAATATTTACATTCATTCTTTACTTTACACTCAATTAAAAAATACTAGAATTTTAATAGTAATGATAGATATCCAAATTATCCTTATTTTTAAATATATATATATAATAAAAATGATTGTAAGATAGTAAATGATTGTAAAAAAATTACTCCTTATGTCCCGCAATTAAATATCAATTTATTTTTTGCACGTAGTTTTAGAAATATTAGTATTATATTGAAATATATTAGGAATAAAGTAGAAATGATATAAAGGTAATGGCATTTGTGTAATATAATGTAAGTTGTAAGGGTATTTGTAATATTAGTAGATAGTACAGTTAATAAAAAAGGAAATTGATACTTTGTTATGAGACGGACTAAGATAAAAAAATGAATACTTTGTTAGGATGAAGAAGTATTAATTAATATTATGTCCACAGTTACTATATATATATATATATATAAAACAATTAAATTGAATAGACAAAAATAAAAATACCGTAATCCTTAAAAGTGAACCAAAAAAGTACTAATTAAACTTATATACTGATAGTCCATATTTTGCGTATTAATTCATTTTAATCATCAAAAATTTAACATCCTTATTCAAATCAACAGTCATATTGATTTGACCGAATTTGCATAGGATCCGCAATCATATTATATATAAATAATATTTTAATAATAATAAATTCAAACCCTGATGTCTCCGGGCTTCGTCTGCTACACATATTCGCCTAGTGTGGCTTGTCTTATTCGATCTAATTTGCATACTATTAAGTTTGATCAAAAATTTACCATGCGCACCCAAATGATACCGACTGCGAATTTTCATATAATAATAATAATAATAATATAGAGAGAGATTCATGCATGTGTGTTGGTGAGGAATTTTTAAGCTTTTAGGACATAATCTGGAAGGAAGGAACTGCCTCCTGCTTTTAACATATGAACGAACTGCCAGAAAACGACACCCAAAAAACGAAAAGCAGCCTTTTCATGCATGTTACCAACAAATTCAATTTCATTTCCAATTATTGCACTTTATATATATATATATATATATATGAATTTAATGATAAAGTTATGGGAAAAAATCATTTTTATTTCCAATATAAAAATTTTATCAATTTTGGTCTCAATATAACAAAAACTCATTATTTTTTGTCTTAATATAACCAAAACTCATCATTTTTTTGTCTCAATATAAAAATTTTATCAATTTTAGTCTAAATATAATAAAAACTCATCATTTTTTGTCCCGACGGAAAACGCTGATGTGAAAATTGCACAATCTTGCAGGTCCACGTTAGCATTTTCCGTTGGTTTGTTGACAGTGGGACTAAAAACGATAAGGTTTGATTATATTATAACAAAAAATGATAATTTTGATTATATTGAGACTAAAATTGATAAAAAATTTATATTGAGACAAAAAATGATAAATTTTAGTTATATTGGGACAAAAAATGATAAATTATACTGAGACTATAAATGACTTTTTCCCTAAAGTTATATACGACCGAGATATGTGATTATTTATTTTTATTGGAGTTATAATTAATTAGTGAAATGGAGACATCATTAAGAAATTAATTAGTGAAAGGGAGACATAATTAAGAAAGATGTATATAATTAAAACGCAATAAATTGGTGCATGTATCTAAGAATTCTATGTTTAAATTGAACATCAATTTGGTGGAAATTTTAAAGCACACAATGGGTTACCTGCTGCATTTTAACTTGGAAATTAGATTAAAAATAATTGTCTATTTAATTAATACTTTAAAATATATATTTAAATATTTTAAAAATTATATTTTAATAAAAATATATTTTTTTAACATCTAAAATTGTGCTTTTTTTTTCCTCCTATAAATATTGTCTTCTTTGGGTGCGTTTGTTTGAGGGTTTGGATTTTGAGTTGGGATTTGAATAATAAAAATTTTGAATTTGAATAGTTATATGATGTGATATAAATAGGTGTTGATGTGATATTTTGAATGTAAAATTGATTTTTAGTATAATATAAAAAATAAAAAATAAGTGTTCGATTTGATATTTTTGAGGAAAAAAATAAGATGAATAGTAGAAATTCAAACAAATCTCTCAAACAAACACACCCTAAAAATATTTTTGACTTTTTGTTTATTACGTCAATTTATTCATTTATTTTTAACATGTTAATTTTTAAATATTAATTATTATATTTAAAAAAAATATATAAATTTTAAAAGAATATATAAAATATTTTAATTGTTAAAAATAATGATACCCAATGGAAATTGATAAATTGATGATAGACGAAAATCAATATTATTATTTATATATGAATATCATTTTGTAATCTTCAAAACATAAACGTGTTTGGTTTGTATTTTAAATGTAATCGAAACTATAAAAATACTATATAAAATAAAATTATAATCAAAAATCCAATTTTAAATCGAAATTAAATAAATTCTAAAATTTTATATAATATAAATAAATAAAATATATATAATTAATATAAATTTATTTTTTAGAAAAATTTATAGAAATAAACTATTTTAAATAGGTCTACGATGTAATAGTAAAAATAAAAATAAAATAAAATAAAATAAAAGGTTACTAAACAACCAAAATCGAAACAAAATTTTGTAGAACTTACTGTTGTCGTCATCGTCGCTGAACGGCTTGGAGTCGGCTACGTCGTCCGGCGGGAGGGTGAAGCCGGTGAAGGGGAACGAGAAGCCTAAGCTGGCGCTGGAGGCTCGGCTCAGAGCCGCGCCGCTGCTTACGTCATCCAGATCGAATTTCATCTGCGCGCTCCTCGATTTCCGAATATGAGTATTGCTCCTGGCGCCGCTCCTCCCCGGCGAAGCCGCCGCCGACAGAAGCCGGCGGCTCGAGTTCCTCGACAAGTTGACGATGCTCTCAACGCCGGCGGCCGCCGCCTCCGTGGGAGACTTCATCGCCGCTGACATTGCTTCTACCAACTGCTCCGATTTTGTCCGAATCAGACCACTGCTCGTCGAATTACTCATACTCTACACTTTTTTTCTTACCAAAATCTGAATCCGAAACATACATTACACAAATTGAAATCAGAGAATTGAAAATATTACCAAAATCTGCAATAGCGAAGAACTCAAAAAAGCGAAAAAGGAACAAAAAGTTTGTACTCACCGCTAATCTGCCAAAAAACTGATATCAACCGTAAATGAAACTTTCCCTTTATAAAGGGGAACTGAGAGAGGCAAGTGAAATTACGTAAATGCCCATATAGAGACCGCGGAAATCGTCTACTTTATACGAGAACCCTGGATCTTTAGTCCCGAGGGATGTTTGAACTGTGTGGATTCCATTCTGGATCTTCAGTCCCAGGACTTTGTGTTATGTAAGAACTGGAAAAACAAGTGTCAGCTTTGAAGACCTCATTGGAACGGATCTTTTTTATATAGTCAGTTTGATTTTAATTTAAATTTAACTTTTAATTAAAATATATATTTTTATTAATTTTTACTTTTAATGAACTTTCTTTTTGTCCCATTTACATTTTGCTATTTATATTTGCTTTATAACCATGTATATACATTTCTCTTATAGAAATTTAATAATACCATATATTATAAATATATTAATTTTATATTTATTTACGTTAATATCACTATATTAAATTAAATGTTGTTGCTACAATGTTAAATTTAAAAATAGCATCATTACAGCATCAAATGGGCTAACAATCAACAAATAATTACTATATGCAGCATATCATTTATATTACTACTCCCTCCATCCCAAAAGATTTGTCTTATTTTTCCATTTTCGTCCGTTCCAAAACAATTGTCTTGTTTCCTTATTTAGTAGTTGTGGTCTCCACTTTATAACAAAATTATTCATATTTTTACATACTACCCCTAATTATTATTCTAACATACTTTTTAAAATCCTTCAAAAAGCAAGGGAATTTCAGTCATTTACATTATACTCTATACTCACTTTCAATTAAATACTATTATTCTTTAATTTTTGTGCCAACTCTCAATAAGACACTTCTTTTGGAACGGAGGGAATATAATATAAATATAAAACATAAACTAACAATATATAATATAATTTTACACAACATATGTAACAGTGAATTTTAGCATATTAGTTACTTTTATAAAATATACGTTTGTAATTATGAACGAACAATAGATATATTTATTACACACAATATTTGTATATGTTACATATGCTGACTTAAAAAATCAAACACATTGTTGATTCTGTAACCCTTTGCTAAATTGAGGACAAAATTATCTTTACACACAAAAGTACTAATAATTATCATTTAAATATAATTATTTCATAATCTCCATAAAAATAAAAAAAGCATATACCTATTTAAGGAAAGAAAAAAATATAGTTATTTATCATACAAATTAAATAAGATTGATTTTAATTTCAAACCAAAATTAAACAAACTCCTAATTATGTTATGTTATTATAATGATAATAATTTTATTGTATACCCTCGTTAAAATAAATATATATATATATATATTTGATTTGGAGATTTTATCCAAAAAAATTAAATTATTCATATATTTTTTTATATATATTATATTAAAAATTAATTTTAACTTCAAATATTACATTAATATTTATTTATATTGCAATAATATACAACTATTCAAATTTATTACTACATTCGTCCCGCAAAAAGAGTAACATTTGATTTTTACATGTTGATTTTTTAAGATGGGTATTATATTGGTTTATAGTGAAAAGGATAAAATTACCCCTATTAGATTGTGTAATAAAAAAGTAACGGCGTTTGTGTAATATATTAAAAGCTATAAACATTTTAATTATGTTAAGTAGGTGTACACAATTATTAAATTAAAAAACAATATCTTTTTTGGGACGAACAAAAATAAAAATAGTATCTTTCTTATAAGATAGTCGGAGTACTTTTTTATTATTATTATTCAAAACACTACGCCGAAACAAACACGACCTAGAATCTTAGATAAACACTCCCATAAAATTGGGAATTTTTAATGCATAAGAAGTTTTAGTACATGTCAGCTGTCAGTCCGTGTATATACGTAATAAATGAACATCATCAAATTGCAATTGCACAGTGGTCAGTCATTCGCCAAGGCCCGACACGTCACCCACGAGACAATCACCACCGTCCTCCGCCCTCACATCTCAGCCGTACACGTGTCCGGACGAGGAGTTCACAACCCCATCGTCCCTCATCTAACTTATTACATTGTCTGTCCCTCTCTCTCTACCAAAACTTTCTTTCTTCTGTTTATACTAGTATATTGTTTATACATATCATTATTTGGCCTTTTTCGCAAATATTTAAATATGATATTAAAGTCTATTTTTATTTTGGGATAGATATAGTAATTAATTCTCATTGTTTTTGCCTACAACGCCAGCGCATGGCAGCTGCACACACCTCCGACGCAGATCGACGTTGTATCCCTCCGGCGACCGCCGTCTTCCGGCCGTGTCCAGCGGTTTTCGGCTGCCGTCTCCTGCTTCGATCCCTGATATCCTGGTATAGAGCTGTTAACGATCCGAGCCGAGTCGAGCCGAACCAAATTTTAAGTGTTCGTTAACGTTCACGAATAAGGCTCGAGTTCGTTCGTTAAGCTTTCGAGCTCATTCGTAGTGTTCGAGCTCGGCTCGTTAAGAATTTTTGTTGTTTGACCTCGTGTTCGTGTTCGGCCCGTTTAAGCTCGATTAAGCTCGTTCGAGTTTGTTCGAACTCGATTGTCTTATTTTTTAAAATTTATATATAAATTATAAAGAAAATTTAAAATTATTTTATTTATACATTTTAAATTAATATTTTATTTATTTATAAATTATAATTTTATATGTATATATAATATTTATAATAAATATATTATTTAAACGAACGTTCGCGAACAAAGTTCGGGCTCGTTCGTTAACCAAACGAGCCTATTTATATTGTTTGGTGCGACTCGTTAACGTTCGCGAACGAGCTTTAACCGAGCCGAACCGAGCCGAGTTCACGAACGGCTCGATTCGTTTAACAGCTCTATCCTGGTATGGTCAATTTTGCTATCTGATTTGAATTTATTTTGTAACTGTTACTGAGTTGGCTTGCCCGTATTATTTGGAGCCCAAATATATATACCTATATACATATATACCCATTAAATTATTTTTTTTAATTAATATACAATTTTTATTTTTTCGTAAATATTCAAACAATTTTTCTTTATTTCCTCATTGTAAGATAATTCGTTTATTGTTTAAAGATATATATATTTTTAGTTTTGATATTTATTTTTTATTAATAAATAAATATTTAATTATTTGTTGATAGATAAGGTGTTTTTGTAATAGAAAAAAAAAAAGAAAAAAAAAAAGGCGTAGTTGAAAACTATGGCAGAGAAGCAAGGGAAGAGTAGTTGTTGCTATATCATTTATTACCTCCACAATACGGCACCGTTTTGGATCTATCCTAATCATCATATGTACCACCCTTTTTTGGACCTATTTTTTTAACATGTTTCTTCCTACTCCATACTCTATGAGTGTATTACTGTAAACACAGAAATTTAGGTAAAGTATAATTAGTAAATAATTAAGAAATATATTAGTAAAAATAATTATAAATTAAGATTAATATAAGTAAATAGTTTAATTAAAATTAAAAAATTATAAAATTTAAAATATAATTAAAGTGTATAATTATATTTTCAAAAATAGAAATGACAAGTTATGTGGGACAGACGAAAATAAAAAATATGAACAAATTATGTGGGACAGAAGGAGTACTATTTTCCTTTTTTTTTTTATAAATAAATTCATTTTTGTTATCAAATGAGTTAGAGTTTTATTTGCAAATATTCATTAAAATATACTCATTTAGTCTCAATACAATAGTCTTATTTATTATTTTTGTCCGTCCTTAAAGAATAACCTTATTTTCATAAATAATCATATCACCATAAAATTACATCAACTTTTTCATTTTTATTACACAATTGCCACTACTTTTTACACTAATACACTCACAAGAGCAAAAAAAATAAAATTTATCCATATTTTTTATCAACTACCAATATAATATCAGTATTTTTTAAAGCTCGTACCCAATCCAATTAAAACTATAATTTTGAAATATCTCAATATGATATACTGATTTAATTGGATTAGCACTCTGTTCGGTCGAATCCAATTTTTTTACTAGCATTAAGTTCAAGCATCCAATTCGGGCCAATCAATGGTGAATTAGATTAGCGGCAGCCCAAATATTTCAATCCCAATGAAGCGATGGCCCGGCCCGGCCCGGCCCGGCCCGGACCAAGCCCAATCAATGATGCATTGAACAAGATTTATTGTCGTGATTTCAATGTATCATCAAAAGTTTTGGTAATGGAGTTGAAAAATGAGAATGTGAGAAAATTTATACTAAAGTAATAAAAAAATAAGACATTTGAATGCAATAACGAATGTCGAGCATGAAAAGATAACCACATTTTAAATATATATATATATATTAGTACTATATTTTAACAATATACTATATTTTTTTTAATAAAAAAATAATATTTTATTTTAAATCAATTTAAAATTATAATTAAATAAATAAGTACATAATAAACAAAAGTATTTACAAATTGTTAAATCGAGGTTACTGCAGTTTTTTATTTTTTAAATAGAATAATAATAAAAATAAAAATATCGATGAGGTGTTGGAATTTGAAAGGAGGCGGTACCGGCTGGGGCACGTGATAGTGACGGTGGACGGAGGCGGAGCTCGTGGCATCGTCACCGGAGTTGCCGTCCATACACGTGGCACCGAATATTAATGAACCCGTCCTTTCTCGCCGTCCACGTGTCCCCATCAGTCACGATTATGTAATGATTACTAATCTCTAAATGAAACGCGGATTTGGCAATTCTGTCCATATCTTTCGTATATTAGAAATATTGCGGGTGTGTAATAACGTGTTTGTTGGAGGTTTTCAATTTTATATTGAGATTGAAATAGTAAAAAATATTTAAATTTAAATAATTGAATAATGCAATATAAATAAGCATTGATGTAATATTTTGAATATAAAATTAATTTTTAAAATAATAAAAAAAATTATTTAATTTAATATTTAAAAAAAAAATTATGTAAATAATAAAATCCTTTAGAATCCTTCAACGAAACACACCTTTTTATCCGAATTCAAAATATCTGTGTTTTCTAAAGGGTGTTTTTGTTTGGAGTTTTTATTTTGAATTAGGATTCGAATAATAAAAATTTTGAACTGAAATAATTGTATGA